GCCCCGCGGCTGTGCGCGCCGGGTGCCTCGTAGCTGTTAGTTTCGGTGGGGCGGCGAGGGCGACGCGGCTCCTCCCGCAGCGGCCGCATGGGCTTACGGGGCGAGCGGCGCGTTCCGGAGTTGGCGCGGAAACCGAACTGCCCCTTCGCGGCCGCTGCTCCCCGCAGCCCGGGCTCCCGGCGCGGGCGGCGTCTCCGGAAGTGGCGAAAGGTGGAGGAGAAACTTCGCGACCGCGGAGCGCGCGTGCCCCGGACCTCAGAAATTATGTCGCCTGAAATTGCACTGCGCTGGTTTTGCAGATGCGCGTGGATCTTTCTGAGATTTGAACGTACGGTGAGGGAGAACTTTATGTCCCACGCCCGTGCTTCCAGCGCGTACCAGACGCGTCTTCCCGGCCGGAGGGCGGACCTGGGAGGTGGGTGGTGAAGCCGGGAGCCGGGGAGAGACGGGGACAGAGGAGCGCTCTCGGGCCGTGCGCGCGGCTGGCTGTGGGGTCGGCACCCGGCTCTGGGTGTTCAAAAACCCTATCAAAGGGCGCACTTTTTTGTTTCAATTCCGCAGTAGAGTAAGGTTGGGTAAGGTCTGAAATCTTTAAGATCTTGGAAAATCTTTATTTTAAGCCTGCAGTTGGCATACGCTGTGACAGTTCGGAAGATAAACGAGATAATAAAGCGAAAAAATATTAAGTGTTTGGTGTAGTTGGTGCGATTGCTTATCCTGGCTAACAGCGGGTAAGAAGTAACCTGACTTCTACCGAAGGATTGCGGAAGTGTGCTGACTTACGGTGGCATTTTTCCCATGCTGATTGAGCTGTCTTCCCTCGTTAGTATTTTATAAATTGTAATAGAATGCTTGATAAACTTAGAATTGTTTTTTGTTAGGCGCAGAAAGAGATCATAGAATTTAAATATTTTTCAATGAGGAAAGTAAATTGTAGTGTATTACTGGGAATTCCAACCACGCCATGTTTAAGATGATAGAGCAGAATTTTTTTTTTCCTTCTGCTTATTTCACAGTTTCCTCAGACTTTTGTAGTGTGTGGTTTGTTGTAAGAGCAGCTTGGAAAAGCACAGGTTAATTGCCTTTGTGTACTTGAAGTGCATGCGGAGGAGATAATTTGTATTTTCTGGAAATCATAGTTGAGTAAGCTGTGGTCTGAAAGATAGGTAGCAAGTTCAGTTCATTGTAAATAGCATTCACTCTCCTACCCCTTCATTCAGTATCAAAGACTAAATGGGTAGCTTACGGTCTGAAGAACTGATTTCTACTTTCCGAACACCCCCTCTGCCCCAGGTTACTATACATACCCCAGTTTTCAGTAAATCCTAATAATAAAGTTATTAAAACTTCTACCGAAGTTCTCTAGGCAAAGGGAAAGCAAATGACAATATTGGAGACACCTAGTTTTGAGTTCTTGTGTATGCACGGTGTGACTTCGATAAACGATTTTCAAACACCTTGCAAACTTGTTAAATTTACATGTGTATGTGTTATTTTTTTTGTTTTTGTTTTTGTTTTTTTGAGTCAGGGTCTCACTGTGCAGTTCAGGCTGGCCTTGAGCTTACTTTGTAGCCCAGGCTGGCCTGGAACTCACACCGATCCTCCTGTCTTAGCCTCCGTCCTGCCTCAGCCTCCCGAGTGCTGGGATTACAGGCTTCCGCCACCTCGCCCGGCTTACATGTGCATGTGTAAATGTGGCCCTTTTAGATGTTTCCAGTTGTGGGGAATCCAGGACCCGGACAGTTAACTCATTTTCAGAATGCCACCATCAGAGTTTAAGTTTAACCTGTAATAAAAACGTTGTGACTTTAAAAGTTCGTGTGTCTCATTTGATGGGCAATGATTCTCCTGACTGTAGTGTTGAGCAAGATGGTAAGACTTTCTTAGTACTAAACCAGTTTATAAAGTTTTATCATTTCTCTGAATTAATTGTGGTACTGTATATGCTTATTGTTAAAGAGATAATTAGAAGAAACTCAAATGAGATACCAATTCATAGATCTTACACATTTTCTCCCCAGAAACCTGTGAACACCGCAAAAGCTGTTCTTCCTGTTTTGACTCAAGTATTGCTAATATTACTTGCTATTGGATAGAGTGTAAAGAAGGTAAGACATTTTGGGCTTGCTGTAATTTTGAGAGTACAGAGCTGTCTTGTTACATTTTTTAAAAACATCTAACAGGTTTTTGTGAACACTTGACAATTCTGTAGAGCATTTAGGATAGTGTGCATTATTTTTTTGCAAATCTAGTACTTCAAAGTGCTTGTTGTTTAACACTGCCCGGTAAATCTTGCCTCCCATCCCCTCTTCGATTTCTTAGCCTTGGTAATTAAGGTCCCCTTAGTTTTCAAAGAAGAGATTTTAGATCTTTGTAAGGTTTAAGGTGTAGAATTAGCCTGAATTGGCTATGAAAGAACATGTGCTTTTCCTTTGAAAACTGTGTTTAACTGTCTTAGTCTTGCACAGTAAACTACAGTGTTAAAGAGACCTTAGGAAATTTTATTAGATGCTTAGACACAGTGGAGGAATAGAAGGGAGAACTTTGACTCTTGTGTGCTTTTTTTTGGTACACAGGAATCAAACTCATGACCTGGTGGTTGATAGGCAGGTGCTGTACCACAGAGCTGTATCCCAGGCCCTGCATGTGCTTTTAAATTTTAGAACATTGAGGGATGAGCTGGGCGTGGTGGCACAAGCCTGTAATCCCAGCACTCAGGAGGCTGAGGCAGGAGGATCCTTGCAAATTCAAGGCCAGCCTGGGCTACAAAATGAACGCAAGGTCAGGCTGAACTGCATAGCGAGACCCTGTCTCAAAAAAGGAAGAAAAAATTAAGGCATAAAGGGCTAGATGAAGGCACATTGAAGCATGAATAAGATTATTGTTAGAATCATGAGGTTACGCCCTAAATTATTCTTTTCTAAATGTAAGATGGTTACATATTTTTTATCAGCAAAAGTCTATTTTGTTTTTTTAAAATAAAGGTTGCGTGTTATGTTTATTCCCTGCTGAAAATTTAACAGTTGTAGAAATTGCAGAAAGTTCAAGCAGCTATTTAAAACAAAAGTATTAACTTGGGGTTAAATTAACATTTTGGGGCCAGGGATATAGCTCAGTAGCACAGCACCTGCCTGGCAAGCGCAAGATCCTGAGTTTGATTTCTGGTACCCAAAAAAAATTTTCACATTTTGTTTAAAAAGTTATTTTTTTTTAAGCTCTCACTGTATATGGTAGTATATAAGAGTTGGCAAGTCTTGAAGATTGGGTGTTCTGTTTTAAGATTAGTTGGGGAATGCTCTTCCCTTACTGTTTTTGGAGGGGTGATGTAGTGGATTGAACACCAGGCCTGGGCTAGGAACAAACTTGTAATCCTTCTATCTCAGCCTCCCAGAGTGCTTAGGATTATAGGTATGTACCACTATCTCTAGCCTCCCCTTACTCTTGCTTCTGGTCTGCCTATCTAGGAAAGCTGTTTTAGAAAGTATAGAAGACTAAAGCAGGAAGCCTTGGAGCACATAACCTACTAGCGCCGCAGGGCACCTCTAAGGTTTACTAAGCCTTAAGCCTTTATTAAAAGATGCTGATCTCTTCTCACCAACTCTCACCTTCTTGTATAGGTTTCTGGCTGCCTTTCTTGGTATCGTAACAGCATAACTCTGAGAACTGAATTGTTTCAGGTTTGTTTAGTATATGAATTTTAGTGCTCACTTTGGCAGCACATATACTAAAATAGTATGTGGATTTTAGATGGATAAAATTTGGAGGGATCAAGTGTAATTATCTCCAAGACAATGGGAAAAGGAGAATATCAGTATTTGTGGACTTCAAAAGAGTTTATATTGAGCCATGAATGGTGGTGCAGACCTGTAATCCCAGCATTTGGGGGGCTGAAGCAGGAGGATCACATGAGTTCAAGGCCATCCTGGGCTACATAAGCGAGTACAAGGCCATCCTGCACTACATAGTGAGACCTTGTCTCAAAAAAACAAAGAATTTATGTTGGAATTTGATTCTGTTTTAGAAGCTGTGACAAATTCAAAGATAATATAAATGAGTGATTGATGTTTGTCTCCATTTTCCATAGCAAATAAGAGCTACTGTTCTGATAATTCAACAGTTAGTAATTGTAGCGTGGTGAACAACACTGCCTTGTGTTCTGGTAAGTCTTTTTGCTGGCGGCTGGGGAAAATAGCCACGGAGGGGTGAGACAAATCATTGCCTCAAAGCTGTGTTTCAGAGTTTTCTTTGAAACATCGCTGTAATTATTTGGGTATGAATAATATTTATATTGATTGATAAAGGATAATGTGTTAAAGCGTGGTTTAATGTTTTAGCTAAACTGTGGAATGCTTTAAGTGGAATACTTTAATACTTCTGTCTCCTGACTTTCCAGGAGCATACTGGCATTTAGACCTGTGCTTGCATATTGCTGTCCTAGCTGACCTTGTTCCGACAAATTCTTGCTATGATGTTGGTGATGTTCTAGTCTCTAGCCTAGTCTGTGTGATGGCTAAATAATAACTGTGTTTATCTATTTTTTATACTTAATTTGAGGAACTTGATTACTTTCACTTGTGTTCTGTGCTGTAAATCATTAAAGCTTCTGGTTGAAACAGCTGATTTTTCTAGTGAGATTACAGATGAAAAAGTCAAACGCCTAATTGCACACAGATAATAATGGAATACAGTAACAGATTTTTGCAGAGTGTCAGTCAGTAACCATCAGAGACTGCCTTTGCCTATTTAACTTTGGTAAGGGTTTCCCCATCCCAATATGAACTTTGTAACTAGGGGTTTTATTAATGTTAGGTCAGTTTACCCTACATAGAGTACATATAACCCATATTGATTTTACCTGAACAAACATTTTGATAGTAATTTTAATGAATATTAACAGAAACTAGTAACTGTCAGAGCTTGTTTTCAAGGATTTCTTAAGAGTCAAGAAATCTTGCGGGGCGAGGGTACTGAATCAAACTCAGGACCTCACACTTGCCAGGCAGGCACTGTGCCCCTGAGGTAAAACCCTGGCCCCTAAAACACAGGTTTTTTTTTTTTCTTTTTTTTGCTCTTTTTGAGACAGGGTCTTCCTGTGCAGTTCAGGCTGGCCTTGATCTCACTTTGTAGCCAGGCTGGTCTTGAACTCGCAATGATCCTCCTGCCTCAGCCTTCCGAGTGTTGGGATTATAAGCATGCGCCACTAAGCCTGGCTTCCTAAAAACACTTTTAAAAACATTGATTTAAAGAAAAGTTGAGGGCTGGGTATATAGCTCAGTAGCGCAAGTGCCTACCTGGCAAGTGCAAGATCCTAAGTTTGATTCCCAGTACCACAAAACAGAAGAAAGAATGAGAAAAGGAAAAATTGAATAAGCAGTGCTGCTTTGATGATATACCAGTGAGAATTTGACTATAAAGAACACAACTCCCAAATTACAGTTACATTTAAGCAGTAGATAAATATATTTCTCTCGTGTGAAGAAATCTGGGCTAGAGTAGAGCTAAAGGTGTAAAGAATTAATTACAACCATTAGAGATACAGGCCCCTTTTAAGTTTTCACTGTTATCATTTGTCAAACATAGCTTTGACCTTCCTGTCCAAGGTGGGTGCTAATGTTCTAGCCAACACGGTCATTTTTCCTGATCGTAGAAGGGGGAAAATGAAGGCCCATAGCTGTCTAGCTATCTTAAGGATGCTTAGTAGAAGTTACACACAGCTACTTAGCTGCAAGTAAAGCTAAGAAATACTTTTCCTAAAGAAGGGAAATGTCGCTAGAATTTGGTGTATCCATTTGTAAAGAAGCAGGGAAACTGGTATTTGGTGAGGGAGTTATCGTTCTCTAACTAGTGCTATGAAAGTAGTCCTCACAATTGCAGGTTGTGAAATAGTGTTAGAGGTGGTGGTATTTTATATTGTCTTGACATATATTTTGTTTTTTAATAGCGCCTACTCCTACTGCTCCAGTGCCGACCAGTGCAACAGGTAATTCAAAATGATTGGCTTTTCTTCTTTATCTTCCAGGATTATAAGGTTCCTTTTTGTTTAATACCTAAGAGTTCATATAACTTTAAAGATAGCTAGAGACTTATTTAGTCTTGGATCACAATAATTACTTAAATGTACACCGTATGTGAGACTGACACATAACCCCAGTGTTTCACAGTCTCTGAGTATCCGCAGATTTGCTGCAGCTTTGAGCCTTGAGTTCATAAACAATGTTTTGTGGATGTGTCAATTTTGGGAAATACTGGCCCACAAAGGAAATTGTAATTCCTCTCATCCAGGGTTTCAAAATATTTTCAGTGTTTTTCTTCTGGTCTTCCATGTATATATTTCTAGATCTAAATACACTTTTCATAAAACTAAATGACATGCTTATATACCTTTGATTATTTTATTTCTTACTGTAAGATTGTGCTATACACTCTTTACCAGTTTTTCCCTTGTTTGGACAATCAGGTAATATTTCCTATCATTGATAGGATCAGTTCAAATACTCTGTAAGTCAGAGGACATGACTGAGGCTCAGAGTGATTGATTTTCAGAATGAATTACGATTTTTATTTCCATCAGCAACTGGAGAGTTTTCCATCAGCTCAGTCTGCTAATTCCATGGCAAGAGTAAATGCTTACATTTTTACAGATAGGAAACACATCTGTTCCAGGACAGGTGCTAGGCTGGGTGATTAAGAGGTAGAGACAAGCAAGCCGGCATTGTGTCTCCTGTGGGAACAGGGAACAGAGTGAACAAACATCTACAGTGCACGCGGGTCATATGATCAGACCCATTTTTATAAAAATGGCTTTCTGGCCTGTGGAGTGTAGATTGGAAGACCAGAGCAACCTTGGGAGAGGAGCTCCCTGTTAGAGCAGATCCAGAGCACAGACAGGAAGAGCTGGAGATGTGTGCAAACAGGCTTCAAGACTTGGGCATTGATGTGTTGGTGCGGCTCACTGAGGTTCTCACTAAGTTGCTGAGTTGGCCAGGCTGGGCTCGAGCTCACTTTTGCCTCAGCCTCCCAGAGCACTGTTAGCACCTCTGTGCACCGACATAAGCGGCCCTCAGATTATGTGTGCTGGCCACTTTGCACAACTCTGCCTAGCTCTTCAGTGTTACCATCTTGGTAACTTAAAATCATAGCGGAAATACTCATGCTACAAAAGTTTGTAAACACTGCAAGACACAGCGTTTTGAAAACAGACGTGGTGGTGCAGCCTGTATGCCAGTTACTCTGGAGGTTGAGGCCAGAAGATTGCAAGCTTCAAGCAAGCCTGGGCTGGGGCTATAGCTCAGTGCTCCTTGGGTTCAGTCCCCTTTTGCACGGATTATGCACTGTAATGTGCTTACAAACCTACAGCTTTCACTGGAAATCATTGCCTAAGGAGGATGTTAAAGATTGGTAAAAGTAGAGGTAAAAGTAGAGAGTATGTACTGAGACTCAAATAGCAAATTTGCAGAATTTTTTTTCTCAACCTTTTTCTCTCAGCCTTTCCCAAAGGTGGAATGTGAGCAGAAAGGGAAGATGTGTACCCTAAAACCATTGTTGATGTGCATGTCATTTCTTATCCTACTCCTATCTTAGCCTCTGGAGTGTCTGAGAAGATAGGGGTATGCCAGTATATTCAGCTATGAGGCTCCATTGTTCAGTCTATGTTTCTGTAAAGTGGAAGGAGGCTGCGGTTTGCCTATAGAATATGTATCAGTTTGCCAGGTGTGGTAGTACATGCCTGTAATCTCAGCACTTGGAAGGCTGAGGCAGGAGGATTGCTGTGAGTTCAGGGCCAGCCTGAACTGCATAGTGAGACTCTTGTCTCAAAAAAGCGAAAAGAAATGCATCATTTAACTGGAATTTACTAGTTGAGAGAGAACCCTTAGGTGTTGCTTTCCATGGCTTGTGCACAGTGCTTTTGCTGAAGAGAGACATGAGAAATAAAGGGACAGTTCAGGAAGTGATGCAAGGAGGATGTTTTTTTCCAGTACCAACAGCAGTTTTATAACCTCTGGGTTCTTAGTGAAGAGAACATGTAGTGTAAATGGAGGTCTACTCCTTAAGGACTGAGATACTTTGAAAATAGTCAATACTGTTTTCAAGATTACATTGTTTTGCCTGGTTAGAAAAAGAATTCCTGCATTACTGGGGGTTGAACCCAGCGCCTTCATACTGAGCTATACAGTTCAAAACCTTTTTTATTTTTTAATTTGAGACAAGGTCTCACTAAGTTGTCCAGGCTGTCCTTGAATTTGATGATCATTGCTTCAGTCTCCCCAAGTGCCCTAATTACAGGCGTACATCATGCCTGGCTACAAAAAGAATGTTTTTACTATGCTTTGAGAGTATGTACTGAGACTCAAATAGCAAATTTGCAGAATTTTTTTCTCCCTTATGTTTCAAAATTGGTAATAGTGGTTTTTTTGTTTTTTTCTGGTACGGGGAATTGAGCTCAAGACCTTGTGCTTGCCAGGCAGGCGCTGTACTGCTGAGCTAAATCCCCAGCCCTTTTGTTTGTTTGTTTTCCCTTAATAGTGTTTTAAGATCAAAAATTTCATGATTATTTATGGCCGTACTGAATATGCACTTAATACAAACAACAAAAACCTTAAGTAAACCAGGCGTGGTGATGCATGCCTGTAGTCCCAGCACTCGGGAGGCTAAGGCAAAAGGATTGTTGCGAGTGCAAGGCCAGCCTGAACTGCATAGCGAGACCCTGCCTCAAAAAGTAAAAAAAAAAACGTTAAGTAATGGGCATGAAAATGACCATCCCCGCTAATGTAGGAATTGCACGTGTCAGTCCTGAGATGAGAAGATGTTTGTAGCGTAGAGGAATGAGAACTGCTCAGCAAAGAGAAGATGAATGAAGTGTGCAGCATTGCTCCACACAAGATGGGGAGAGCTGCCAACACGAGTATTCTCTTAGTAGTATTGTCATTCTAACCGGAGTGACAGGTCCTGAGAACGAGGTGCCTGCCGATGAAAAGAAAAGTAAGAGAGGGCGGGGGATACAGCTCAGTGGTACAAGTGCCTGCCTTGCAAGTGCAAGGTCCTAAGTTCAATTCCCGGTACCAAAAAAAAGAAAAGACAAGAAAAACAAGAGAGGCAAAACTCTGGGATCAGGGGGCTTAGAGCCTCTCGGACTGCAGCCCCGATTACCAATCTCAGTCACCTTTTACTGAGCGAGAATGAAGGGCGTAGCTAGTACAAATGGGCGGATGCCAAACCTTTTAGTAATTAAAAGATAATCTTTCTCCAATTCTGCCTCTTATGCTGCTGGCAACAATCCTCAGGTGGGCCTCCCACACCCAGCACCATGCTTACTCAGATCAGCTGGGGGTTATAAGTTGACCACCAGTTACCAATCCATTACAATCACAGTCCTTACTTCCCATTAATTTTTTTGTTTGTTTGTTTTTTTTTTTTTTTGTTTTTTGTTTTTTTCCAGTACCGGGAATTGAACTCATGACCTTGTGCTTGCCAGGCAGGCGCTGTGCCACTGAGCTAAATCCCCAGCCCACTTCCCATTAATTTTTACAGTGCATGGCAAGGGATCTCTTGCAATTCAAATACACTCCTATCTTCAGGTGAAAGGTTTCAGTTCATTTTTGCAACAATAAACAAATCATTGTGTGTCCTCCCTCAGTGCTTTCTAATCAAAGAATGCCCTTCTCCACATAGTATCAGTGCTAATAGGGGTCTGATCACATATTTCATAAGTAGTGTTAAGCTCCCTGTTTACTCATAGTTCTGTGAAAATGACAATACCTTAGCCTCCTCGAATCCTGGTAACCTTAGGATAAGGGCTGTCTGCCTGTAGTCTTTGTAGCTCTTCTAGTGACGTTCTTTGTCTTAAAGGTGTCTTAAAGCCAGCTTTCGGTGTGTAATTACTGTTGTTGCGTAGAACTTTCTGTGTTAGTGGAATTCGGAAGGTCTTGTTTGAAGTTTTATTTTTGATTGTTTTAAGTGGTTAACAAAACGTAGTCTTGATGCTCTGAGACCCAGAAGTCTTCATCGAGAATCATGGTGGGCTCAGTGGCCTACAGTCCCAGCTACTTAAGTGGTTGAAGCAGGAAGATCACAAATTCAAGCCAGCTGAGGCAATTTAGAGACTTAGCCAGACCCTAGCTCAAAAAAAAAAAAAACCTTAAAGTGGCTTGGGGATTTAGCTGAGTGGCGCAGCACCTGCCTGGCAAGCGTGAGGTCGTGAGTTCAATTCCCGGTACCAAAAAAATAGCTCGGTGAGAAGGCCCTGAGTTCAGTCAGTCTGGTGTGCTGCCTTCCCTATGTGTGCCAAACAGTAGAGTACTAGTGCCAAAAAGAGTTCGGGTATTTATGAACTTCCTCACCTAAGACAAAGGTGGAAGATGAATTATAAAGATAAGAAAATTGCAGAATGCCTTCTATTCCAGTTACATATTTTAAGCAGAGGTAAATATTTGTTGCCAAATTCTCTTAAGCCATCAGATCCTGTTTGCTGAAACAGCGTTAAAACTGTATAACACCTTACATTTTTTGTAAGAGCATAAGCTTCCTGTATTCAGTCTTCCTCAGCGTTTCCCCCAGATCTTGCCTAGCTGCCCACCCTGGTAGGCACGCCTTGGTAGTGAAAGCCCCTGTGCAGAGGCCTGACCTGATTATTTCCTGAACATGATAAGGAACTCTGAGCCCAGTCCCTTGCCTAGAGGGAGGGCCCTTACAGTGTTTCAGGAAACCAAACCCTAACCTTAAGGGCAGTTTCTTCCTAAAACCTTTCTCAAATGTTCCAGCAAACTTCAAAATCATTTGGTAGCTCTTTGGTCGCTTAACTCTAAGAAATTACTGTATAAAGTACCTAAATCCTTTCTTTCAAATACTGGCATGAGAACCTTTATAGATCACACTTGGCATAATAGACTTTCATCGTTTTTGAAATTCCTTTTAATGGAGTGCTTCAGTTCCTAAAATGATTTTACATTTAAACTAATTCTTAGGGGCTCGGGATTTAGCTCAGCGGCACAGAGCCTGCCTGGCAAGCGCAAGGTCGTGAGTTCGATTGCCAGTACTGGAAAAAAAAAAAATTAAACTAATTCTTCCCACATTTTTAAGAGGTGTCATCAGATAGCATTTTGGCCTCTTTCAGACTGGTACACAAGCGCCCGCCCTTGGGCTCCTGCCATTTACATTGAGGTAGCTGCAGTGGCGAGACAGCCCACCCACTCTTAATACATTGTTCCAGTTTATTTGCATAAAGTTTGTTTGTCTCTGGCTGCTTTTGCTCACGCAGTACACACAGACTGAAGCACTTACTGACTGCCCTTAAAGGAGAGTTTACGAGCCCTGAAGTGAGGAAGACAGGCGAATCTATTACCCACATAAGAAATACTGTGTTGTAATTGTTTCTCCTATAACTTGAATGGTTTTTATCTTAGAAGCAAGCTTATTTGTAGAACTTACCATTCTTACCCCTCCCTGCCTTTTTTTGCAAACTTTATCTGAATGTATAGATTTTTTTTATAATCAGATATTAAATATAATTATGGTTGCTGAATATTTAAAAATACGTTTAAAAGCCAGTATTGTTGGATGTGTAGATACTGTTCTCTGAAATACTGAAAACATGTTGAAGTTGGTAGCATTATTTTTAAAAGATAATGTTAGATAACTGGGATGTTAGAAACTGAAGGTTTTTCAATACATGGTGTTTTTTAATTCCAGCTAAAACCACAACTCCGACTTCCCCTTCTTCCACCACCGTTACCACAACAGGTCAGTGAGGATTTTTAAATTAATAGCATGTAGCATGTGTGTACATTGTTGCCTTTTACTGTGTTCTCATCCGGGTCCAGTTTTATTCATGAATGGATGTGGCCTGAAACTCAATGTTGGTACTTAGGGCGTTGAGGTAGCATGCTGTTTCAGCAGTGATAGCAGCTAGGGATCGAACTAACGCATGCCAGGCAAGCAGTAAACAGTCTCACACTGAGAAGCCCAGTTGTAATTCATCCTGAAGCTGGGGATTTAGCTCAGCAGCACAGCGCCTGCCTGGTAAGCACATGGTCGTGAGTTTGATTCCTGGCACCAACAAAGAAACAAAAAAAGAAAGTCGCAGTAATTCATCCTAAAGTTGGTCATTGATATTCTATTAAGAAAAACTGTAGTAGTATTGTGTGTTTGGTTTTTTGGGGTTTTTTTGGGTTTTTTTTTTTTGTTTTTTTTTTGTTTTTTTGCAGTACTGGGGATTGAACTCAGGATCTTGTGCTTGCCAGGCAGGTGCTTGTGCCACTGAGCTATATCCCCAGCCCCAGCACAAAAAATGTAATAGTCCTATTCAATGCTTTTTATTAAATTGATGCTTCTTCTTTTAGTCTCTATTTCCTTGAAATATTTTACTCCTGGAACAGAAATTTTGACTTTCACGTTCTTTTTCGTTATGACTTGGTGATACTTTTTCATATTCAAAATTGACAGTTCTACTCAAAATGTCTTATGAGTTACTTGTTAAAATTATAAATTACAGGCATTTCAGGTTATACAAGTCTCCAACTTATGAGTGAGTTGTTCTGGGAGAACGCATGTAAGTTGGATTTGTGCAAAAGTTTGCAACTTGAATGTTCATTAAGTTGGGGACTTACTGTATTTTTTTAAGTTGAAAAATTGCGGCTGTTTATATAGTATCTAATAAATGTCATGAATTTTTAATACATTAACAGTTTGACAGACTTACTGGATATTTTAAAAGTGCTTGAAAAATTTCTAGGGTACAAGTTTTATAACAGAAAAATCTTTTTCTTTGGTCTTCATATTTGAAGCATTATAGCTTCATTGACCAGGTGATATCCCTGGACAAGATGAAGAATGGTGAATGGTAATCTTGGTTAACCGTGGATGAATTCTAACCTGAAAGACTTGACTCGGAGTTCTTTGACACATGGGAAAATAGAAGCCAAGTGGGTCTTGCAGTTGCAATAGAGGATCCTGAGACTTAATGAGGATTGTCCCTTTTATCATACCAGGTGCAGCAAATACCACTGTGACTCCAACCTTGGGACCTGGGCGGAAGTCTACCTTTGATGCAGCCAGTTTCATTGGAGGAATTGTCCTCGTCTTGGGTGTACAGGCTGTGATTTTCTTTCTCTACAAATTCTGCAAATCTAAAGAACGAAATTACCATACTCTGTAAATGGACATATTAAATTAACGAGGACTGGTAATTCATTTGTGTAACTCACTGAAACCAAAATACTATCTTTCAAGAAGTCCCACATGGAAGATGCTATTCCAGGATCTTTAAATTTACAAAGGATGGGTAGGATATTTCGGAGCATCATCCCTGAAGAAATACCAGTTAAACCATTTTGCTCAAAGGAATATTCATAAAATATTCTGCATGAATCCTTGGGGCTGTCTTGTTTTACTTTAAATGGCTGCTGCTGTGGGATTGTTTCTTTTCTTGACATGCCAAATATAACTTTCTGTAAGTAATGGGAGATGTTATTCTGTGCAGACAACCTCTTGACCCTTGGCAGATTAAATTTAGTCATCATAAAGCCTGAAAGCTGCATTAGTTTCATCCTAACTCAAGCTGTTGCTTAGTGGCCAGAATTGAGGAGTGTGCCAAACAAGCGTCCGCCGGGTAGATTTTGGACTAGCATTTCAGAAGTGGAATTACTCTATTTAGTAGTACTAAACAGTATCCTTAGAATAAAATTTGCGCTCGATGTTATTTTTTTCTACATTAGAAATAAGTTGCCACATAAGGAATTACATTCCAGACTTAAAGAAATGAATGGAAAGGATACAAACCATTAACGTATACCAGGTTATTGTTCATACTTGTAAAGCACCTTATGTCATTTGAGAACATAAAGAACAGTGCCTTAAAAGACTGACTGAAAGGTAGGCTGTAGCTTAAAATGTTTATGATTTGTTACTTTACGTTAATGAAGGTAAAGGTTGAGGATATACTGTCGAAGTGAGCAGTAGTAAACCTGCCTCTGGTTATCATACTGTTAATATTTAATTCACAGCATCTTTTTTCAGAGCTGAGAACGTTAAGCTACAGAGTTAAAAGCCGTCATATTTTAAACCTCCCAACATTTTTCTTAGGGCTATTGAAGAGAGATAAAAATAATTAGGTATCTTTATCTTTGTACTTAAAAAAGGTTCCCTAACATAGTAGTTTGAAAAGATTTCTCCCAAGCTTTCCTGGAAAATAACTTTTTTGAGGCTATAAGAAAATAAGTTTTAGAGTCATTTATTCTTCAAGTGAGACAATCATGTTAAGTTTTCAGAGCAAGTACCAGTAGTGTAATTTCACAAAACTTGTGGGTTTTAAGCCAGATGTGGTGATGCACATCTCAAATTCTAGCATTTGGGATGCTGAAGCAGGAGGATCTCCATGAGTTCGGGGCCAGCCTGAACTACAAAATGAAACCCTTTTTCCAGAAAAGCCTGAGGTTTTGATCTGGTTACTGTAGATTTTTAGTGATTATCTTGGATAGGCTGCGCTTCAGCCTTTTTTACTTTCTCTTTCCTTCTCTTGCTGTCAGTTGCTGTAGAACGGTAGTCATGAATACTTTCATTTCTGGTATTTCTCACAAAGCCCTAGATTTCTTAGGTTTAGGGTGGTTCCTCCCTTGCCTTTGACACATTGGACTAGTTCAGAGGCCTTAATTAGTTGAAAATAGGCTTTTGGTTTTCTAGATCATTATTTTTTTCCCCTTTAGCTTGCGGTAGCTGAGTTTAGCAGTTGGTTTTCAGTATTTTATAGTAGGAAATGACACACTGCTTCGGTTCATTTCATAAAGTGAAACTCCTTGTATTTAGGTGATTATATTAAAGGTTCTCAAAATGAAGAGTTACTGTTTCTTTGTCACTTACTGGTACTGTTAAACAGCTAAAGTTTGTTTTACTTGCACTTTGTACATACACCTAATGTTTTCAAGTGCCTTAATTGTTTAAATCTCTGGCTTCAAAGATTTTTGGAAAAGAGTAGGCTCACCTCACAATTTTGTGTATCCATTATTAGTAATATTTTAGGTACTTCACATGATGTATTATGGTGCCATGGCTGTTAGTATTTAGTGAGTGCTGTAAGATTCATTTGAAAATACACAGAATTTCCATCCTCACAAGTTGGCAAAAGTGAGCTGCAGTGGTGTAATTGTCACTTACCTGGATGAGTATTGGTTGCCGCACGTTAATGTCAACACGTGCAGGGAGTTTTGTGGAAATGATTGGAAGCTCCTGTAATTGGGGCACTTCTCTGACAAAACCCTATGAAGTTAGATTTGCAAACCTACAGGTGAGCTCTTGCAACAGATTCACGGCCTCTTTTTTTCTCCTTTCCTTTTAGCAATTAGTATCTTGAGCCAATAATTTTGGGTTTTCTTAATCCAGAAGGTATATAGAAACCTTTTCAGATTTTTCATCTGATTTGTTCATGCTGATGTAGTTCTGTCATACCTTATTTTACCTTACAGATACTTAATGCATAGGCAGACACTGCTGTATTTAGAAATTTCTATTTCAGTTCATTAAAAACTTCAATCTGTATCATGTACCAAGCTGATTTAAAATAAATGTATGTGTTTATTGAATTAGCCTGTTCTTTATTGACTGAAGTGTGTGGTTGCATTTTAATTATTGTAGAATTTTAACCTTTTATTGGATTTACCTCACTAGTGTATTTCGGGTGGAGTTATTGCTACGGTTATTGCTCCTCTAAGCCCGCAAATAGTCAGAATTAACCAGTGGGGCACAGAGCCCATTAATGACATTGGGGGAGGGTGGGAGGGACGTGCAAGTTGATAACACGAGTCAAGCTGAAGTTCACCAAGGACTTACAAAAACACTGCTTTTATACTTCTGAAATCTTAATTGTGGCTTCCTATGTTTTTAGTTCTGAGTCAGAAATGAAACTAGGCCTCTGTTTTAGATTTGTTGGTACCCACATCTACCAAGCCATGTGCTAGCACATGAACTCTGGCTCTCTTGGGCCATGTTGTGGGCAAAATTACTTTGTAAACTTACTCCCCTGTAATGGTGAGCTTAATGATTTGCCTTAGAAATAATCTACTTTCTGTCTTACATTAGCCTATATATGGACATTTGGTAAGTATATAAAACTGTACCAAGCTTAACTTCCTAAAACATTAGAGACAGTTACTGTGATAAGATTAAAGTGCAGAATAGGTGTTCTAGATGTCCTGTATTTACCTGTGTACTATCCTTAAATGTTTCCTGTGTGCGTTACTTAACAGCGTGCTCAGTGCTGCTGATCTTTTCCTTTCTGGAGACTTCCGTTCTCACTTTAACCATCTTAGGTAAAGGCTTACTGTTACTTGTTTTTGTTTTTCTTCTGGTACCAGGAATCGAACTCATGACCTTGCGCTTGCCAGGCAGGTGCTGTTCCGCTGAGCTAAATCCCCAGCCCCAATTTTTTTTGTTTTTGTTTTTCTTCCTGCGGTACAAGGAATCGATGTTTTGTTACTTGATGAATTCTTTTTCTGTGAGTCTGTGCTGTGCCTTTTCTCCCCTAATTTGTCTTACCATTGTTTGTTACGTACATTGGTAACATGCTGATTTAGAAAGATTTTCACTGACTAGAGTTCTAGACTGACCTCTGCTTTCAGTGTTTAAAGGATATTGATCTGTTGTCTTCTCGCTTCCGTTGTATCCTGTGACATACCTGCCGTTATTATTTGACTTTGTTCTGTACCAGACGTGTCTAGTTGTCTGCGGTTTTTCTGTTATTGGTTTTGAGGAAATTGATTATGATGTACTGTGGTGTTTTCCTTGTTTCTTGTGCGTGGGTTCGTTGAGCTGCTTGGTCATCACATTTGGAAGCTTTCCAGCCTGTGTTCAGTTTGTGTGGTGGGGAGGCGGGTGACTGTCCCCTTACACTGTTGAGTATTTCAGTTAGCTTATACAATTGATGCACTGTTCTCCAATGAACGCATTGTGGGTTTGTTTTTTCTTTACAAAATCTTTGTTTTAGATCAATTCCATTATCTCAATCTCAGTGTGTTTTCATTTCAAATGTCATTTGGGGGGTCTTCTATCTTTCATGTCTTTATATACAGAATCATTGGTAGCTTAGGGGGAAAAAAATGATAATTTTTAATGCCCATATCTGCTAAAACTACCATCTGGGTAAGTTTCTGTTGGTTGATTTATTTCTGCCCAGATGGGTCATATTTTCCTTGTTCTGTTGCATGCCTGGTGATTTTTTTATTGGATATGAGATATAAATTGTTTTGGTGGATGCTAGATATTTTTGAATTTCTATAAGTACTCTTGAACATTGTTCTGAGACATAGCTACTTGAAGACAATATGATCCTTGGGGACTTCAAACCTTGCTGAGAATAGCATTTGTTCTAGGGCTGAGGTAAGACCTTCCTGGGCACCGTGCCCCTTAGATTATGAACTATGGTGAGTGAACTTGTAAGCCTTGTGTGTGCCCCAGGTCATGCTTCCTCTGAACCTTTTCCTCAGAGCGTTTCTTCCTATTTCTTTTTTTGAGGGCCTCCCTCTCAGATTTCTGCAGTTGTTTCTGCATCTCTGGCCCTTTGCCGTGGGGCCAGCTACCTTGATCTCCTGATTTTCAGCTCCACCACAACTTAAGGAAGTCCAGTTGGCTCTGCCTGGATTCCTACCCCTTCCATCACGACTTGAAAGTCCAAGGCAGGGAGCTGGGGCAGTATCTTGCTGTCTTTCAGAGATCACGGTTCTTTGCCTAATATCCACGTACTGAAGAATTGCTATATATTTTCTTCTTTTTAGTTGCTTCAGAATAAATGAGTCTCACTTCATCTTGGCCAGAAGAGAAAGTTCAAGACAGGAACTTTAATGTCTCAATTTTCAGTTGAGCAGTGCATCAGTGCACTTCGTTAACCTTTTTAAAAATGTGAGGGGCACGGTGTACATCTGCTTTGAGCATCCCTAGTCCCTCTCCTTGCCCTCTTCTGCTTTCTAGAAGCAGTCCCTGAATCTGGCTCGGTCCCCATGCCTTTTCCCACAGTTTGTATACATAAATAAATAAAATATGTGATAGGGATTTTTTGTATAGGAACAGGCTGCAGGGATCTCTCCCCACCCCCAGTTCAGTAGTCTGTTACCAGAGCAAATACATATTTTATTTTAGGCTTTTTGTTCTTTTAAAAATACTTCTGTCTTTTTGAGGCAGGGTTTTGCTGTGTAGTTCAGGCTGGCCTTGAACTCACTTTGTGCCCAAGGCTGGCCTTGAACTTGGTAGCGATCCTCCTGCCTCAGCCTCCCGAGTGCTGGGATTACAGGGGTGCAACACCACACCTGGCTGAAATTTAACTTTTAACAAAAAAATCATACATGTTAATGACTCATGTTTCAGTAGATGTGTATGTTTTGCAATGTTTAAATCAGCATAAACAACCTACTTGAACATTTATCATTTATGGTGAGAACACTTAATTCTCGCTTTTTCAGATAAACTGTATACAGTGGTGCCTTGGTTCATGAACTTCATTTGTTCTGTGATTTTGGGAAAGAGCCATGTTTGTGTGGGAATGAAGGTCACAGTTGTAATTTGTTACCCAATGCAGTTTGCAAATAAACAATTTTGGCAAACCTTTCTGTTTGTGAAGCAAATTTTCACAAACAGAAGCGCTTGTGAACTGAGGGACCACTGTAATTGCCACTTACAGTCACCCTGCTGTGCAGTGCATCCTCAGCTTCATCTGCGGCACAGCGCGTGTTGATAGGCTCCATCTCGGCCCCGACACCCCTCTACCCAGCCTCATAACCGCCGTTCCGCTTGTGACCTCTGTGAGGCCCACTTTTAGATTCCACATGAGGGAGGTGCACACAATACTTGTCTTTCTGTGCCTGACTTCATGTAGCTTAGTGGTCCCCAAAGCCATGTTGCAAGGGACAGGGTTTCACTCTTTATGTCTGAATGGTGGTCCATTGTATTCCTGTACCATACTTTCTTCATTCATTGCTGGAAACTAAAGTGGTTTTGATTTCTTACCTATTGTGAATTCTGCAAGCCCTCCCTCCCTTCTTCCTTTCCTCCTAGGCCTTTCAAATTAATATACGTGACTGTACTGAATTAGTTCCTGTGTTTGCTTGTTGCTTGAAAAGCTTCATCCTATGTGGGGCATGGTGGCTCACGACTGTAATCCCAGCACTCAGGAGGCTGAGGCAGGAGGATCGTTGGAAGTTTAAGGCCAGCCTGAACTGCAGAGCGAGACCCTGTCTCAAAAAGACAACAATAATAATAAAAGCTTGGACGCCAGCTCGTGCTATTGGGAGGTGGTGGAACTTCTAAGAGGTGGGTTTAACTGTGACCTGTGGTCACTGGAGGCTTGTCAGTGAAGGGGACATTGGGACACCAATGTCCCCTCCTCTCCCTCTTTTGGCTGCCGTGAGGTGTGCAGCTGTCTGCCCAAGCACTCTTGCCGTGGTGCATTGCCCTAAGGCGATGAAGCCAACTGAGAGTGGACTTAGACCTTTGAAACGGAGCCGGAATAAACCTATCCTCTAACTTGATTATCTCAGGTATTTTGTTGGAGTAATGTGATGCTGACAAGCAGAAAACTGGTACTGAGAAATGGGGTTGTTGCTATGCCTACCTGAGATGAGATGGCTGAGCCTTCAGTTTGGTGTGCAGGAGGACTTCGGAGACGTTTGGAGAAGCAGGTTAGGGGAAACGTAGACTGCTGTAAGGAGCCAAGTGGGCAGTTCTGGTGAGGCCAAAGACCAGAGTGCCGACAGAAATGACAGCAAAGGTTATTTTCCTGAGGTTTCACATGGAAATAAGTACGGGGACTTGAACTCAAGGGCAGCCTTTTTATACTGTGGCAAAGAAGTGTATGTTTTGCCTGTGCCCTGAGGCTTTGTGGGAGGCTGAGCTTAAGGTGATAGACCAGTTTATCCGGAAGAGAAAATGTCAAGGCAGCACAACATTCAGGCAGTAACATGGGTGTTATTAGCTCCATTTACTGTGAGAACCAGGAGCAGAGGAAGAATTTGGAAAACACAGTTTGGTGAGAGGAGGAGCTCATTTAAAGGTGTTGCCACAGAGGGTACGGTTGCTAAAAAGGCTAAGGCCATTAAAAAGAAGTCATCTACTTTGCACTGGGACATTAGGAATAGAGGGTATCTCAGGAATCTGCAAGACCCTGTCTCTTGTAGGCTCGTAGATATAAAAGTATAAACTTGTTCCAAAAACATACATTTGAGGAGACCCAAGTGAGTGGCAAAAGCGCCTGCCTGGCAAGCGCAAGGTCATGAGCTTGATTCCTGGTACCGGAAGAAAAACAAAAACAAAGAAACAAAAAAAGATTTCTGACATAGATGTATCCTGGCATTGTAACTGATAAAAGTATTTACTTACTGAAGACTAGTTACACTGTTTACCATTTTTCGTTTTTATCAACAGTTTTACAGAGAACGAGTTTGTTCCTGCTACTTTGTTTATGCGTAACTGTTTCTGTAAAGTAACTGTGAGGAGTTGGGAAGCTGTACCCTAAGGTTTTGGCAGTATTTTAACACATTGCCTTCCAGTTTCCACCAGCATGGTCTCAGTGGTTTCATTACCACTACCCCTTATATTCACAAAGTCAAACCTTATAATTTATTGATTCTTACCATTACTTTGTGCTTTTATGAATTGTGTATCTGTATTTTTCTTAGCAATTTATAGGGTTTTTAAAAATACTAAAGTCGGCTCATGCTAAGCCATAGGTAGTAGATTTTGTACTTAACATTGTCTTCAAGTCTTACTCTTTAATTATGGTGCCTGTAATCAAACAGAACTCAACTGGGAGACTGAAGCCATGCAATACGAATAGGAGAAAATTTGCCCTAAGGATGTACAGTACTAGCTCTAACAGTGGACTGGAGTATGGGGCATATTATCTATACAGTTTTAAGAAATAAAAATTACTGCAAAACAGTAAAGAGAATTCTAACAAATACAGGGATAGCTGATAAAACCGAATTCCAGGCCTGATTAGAGATGCTGCAGCCTTGGCTGTCTGCATGGTGGCATTTATGGTAGCTGCAAACCCGTCTGAGAAGGTGCCAGGGAGTCCATCCGCAGGGAGATTTCACAGCAGGGCCGATCTTTGGTGAGGCTCCTTAGAGGCCTGCGGGTAAACCACGCACAGGAAGAGCCGCTCTAGTTCACTGCGCTGTAAGGCTGCGAGTTGCCGCAGCTGAGCACACAGAATCAGAAGAAATGCCTCCGGTGCCCTACACTGCTAGACAGCACAAAGGAGAGAGATTCTAGCTCCATTATCACAGAGCAGGCGATGACAGGAGCTGGAGCGCTGAGAGGCGATGAACTGAGAACGGCCACCGTCCACCTGTCTGGCTCCTCCGTCTCCACACAGACCCTTCACACACTTTGAAATCTCTTAACAGTGAAACAGCTCTGCATTCCTGCACTCCGCCTCACAAGCTACAACCACACTTCCTTGCAAGCCAAGTTCCATAGACTCCCTTTCATTGTTTCCATGTTAATGACACTGTTTCATCAAATACTGCTGACCTAAAGATTAAACTGTAAAATTAGCTTATAAAAGCTTGGATATCAAGTTAAAATGGAGGTGAAAAGGAAATGGCTAGCACTTACAGATAAATACATCCAAGAGGAAAACAGAAGATATTCAAAGCTATTACGATCCTTGTTTTTGTAGACCTATGCCCTTTCCACTCCCTGTTGATATTTCTTTTCCCCTTGTCTAGGGCCCTATTCTAGAGCCCAGTCAGCTGCGCAGGCTGGTGGAGTGAGCCACATATTCGTTGAAAAGGTTTTGAGTCCTCCAGTTGTCCTACCTGTTTTGGTTGCTATGGTTTTTCATTCATCTTTACTCTTAGGTATGAAGCTTTCTTTTGGAAACTGTGTTCCAAATGTAGCACTAGAGGCCATCAGGATTGACCATCCTGGCTACTAGAGAAACACACTCCGCTGCATATTGAGCTAGTGACATAAGAAGCCCAGGTGGTAGTCTCATCTCAGATCTGACAGCAGTGGAACCTTTGTTGTGTCCCTGGTTGAATCATCTCCTGGGAACGTAGACCTCCAAATCCACATATTCACGGGGATATAGCTCAGTGGCGCAAACGCCTGTCTGGCAAGCGTGAGGTAGTGAGTTCGATTCCCAGTACAAAAAAAAAAAAATAGTTTCTCCAAATCTACATATTCAAGGTTGCTGGAATAGAAAGTATCATGTGAGGAACAACTTCCACTACCCGCTTGTGATTCTTGGGCTCAGAGCAGGTGCTGTCCTTTCAGAGTGGTGTCTTCCAACTGTGGTAGTAACTGATTATTCAGTGAACTATTGCATCTTTTAACAAGAGCAGTTGCTGCTTGGTGTTGCGACATGGTAAGTTCATGGGCTGAGCCCACTGCAGCCCTTTCTTTGCATTCCTGCATTCTGATACTGAGTCCCTGCTTAGAATCAATTCCATGGTAAATGTCCTGATGGTAGGAAAGGCATTCTGTGAATACATGGCTTCGATGGAGGTGCTGGCAGAAGCATTACAGGCAAGGAAGGCAATCTATATCCCAATTATGTATCTATGCCAGTGAAGATGAATCTGGTACTCTCTTGATGACAGAAGCCAGTGTAACCCATCTGCCATCAGGGAGATGATCGTAGCCATGTGATTTGTACCACACTGCAGTCTCGGTACTGGCCTCCTCTCTGGACAGAGGAAGCACTTGGAAGTAGTGTGTGTCAGCCGTGGGGAAGGGGAGATCTGTGTTGTCAGCCTGTAAACAACCTTTATCTCTGCCACGGGGGCCACATTCAAGGACCGAATGAGAAAGCCATGGTGTATGTGGGAAACGAAACTGAAACCCTCAACTCAGAGCATATTACTTTATCATCCTGATTAATAAGCACCTCCTCTGCTACAAATGCCCTTTCGCTGGCATTAAAATGAGACCCAAATATCTTCACAACCTGTGCCCATTCTAAGGGTTACTTTCTTATTGTAGAGACAAAATGTCCAACACCCAAAGTTAGAGGAGGAAAGGTTTATTTAGCTCACAGTAGCTCTCTGCTACAAAGTGTCTCCAGCTAGAAATGATCAGTGAATTAAGACAGCAGAGGAGTGAGGCAACAGCAATTATGATAATATGTAAAAAAGGCACCCAATTAAGTGGTTTGCCCTGGGAGTACTTGTAAGACATTTGTTCATATTGTTTTGACTACCCTTATGTTTTTACTGGAGGCTAATAAATGTAGTTGTTTTTATTTTTAAAAAATTAGATAAAACAATTAATGGAGTTTAGAGTCACTTTTATTCACTTGAGTGCTTACAGAAATAAAATTTGGAGCTGGTGTGGTAGTGCATGCCCATAATCCCAGCACTTGGGAGGCAGAGGCAGGAGGATCACCACAATCAAGGCCCACCTGGGCTACACAGTGAGACCCTGTCTCAAAAAAAAAAAAAAAAAGAAAGAAAATTTGGAAAAACAGGATTACCAGTCAAGCTTGAATGGGATTGTGGATGGAGCTGTTTGGACTTGAAAAGCTGTAAGTTGAACATTTTTTGCCACCTTGGGTAGGGAAACTTTGTCAGTCCTCTTTCGGTATTTAATAGGCACCTGTAATATTAAATACATATCAGGTTTTTTAAAAAGCAGATGAATAATTCTTCATATGCCATAACAGAAAGCCACTGCTCTCCATGAGACTGAAATCACTTGTTCAGTCTGAGTTAGGTCTTCCGTGTGCTGTCCACATTTTGCCACTTGGTCAGAATTAATCTATCCATGGAAAGCCATTTCCAGCTAAGGAAGAAAAGATTTCCCTGTTTGGAGCAACTTAAAATTGTCTATATATTTCATCCCTTGTGTTAGCACGTTGCTATATTTAGAAACTGTGTTCTTACATCCCAGCCATGGACAAACTCCTCTTTAGTCGGTTTTTGTCTGACTTGTCTCATGGACTTTGCTTCAGAAATCAGACCTTAGACAATGTGGAGCAGTTCCAACTACTTTTGTGCCTCTCTTGCCCTCAGGCTTTTTGCTTGGGGCTTCTACATTGTAGGTGAGCTAATGGAATCACAATACTTCATCAGAGGGCCTACTCATGTAGTAGGGCAACGGCCAACAAATAATTAGCTTTAGACCATCTCTTCTAGGTCACTTCTCTTTCCTAGGTCTCTCTAATACAGTGGATCTCCACTCATGACTTTGCTACTTACCAGCCCGTTCAACTCTAAGTCATGGCCACTAATACCTCCAAAGTACTCAGAGCCCCTTGGGCGTGGTGGCACACACCTGTAATTCCAGCACTGGGAGGCTGAGGCAGGAAGATCACCATGAGTTAGTTCAAGGCCAGCCTGGGTCACAAAGTGAGTTCAAGACCAGCCTGAACTACACAGTGAAAACCTGTCTCAAAAAGACAAAAAACCAAACCAAAACAAAACACTCAGAGCCCTCAGGAGGAGGAAATGGACAAAATGACTGTGTTCTGAAAGGCCTTGTAGCCCTACACATACAAATGGAACTTTGTTTCCTTCAGAAAAATTATTTGCATAAAAAGTAGACATATACGGTTGGCTCACTGTATATGACACTGCATCTGTGGATTCAACTGTCAATCAAAATATTTTTAGAGGAGGGCATGGGGGCACATGCCTATAACCCCAGCACTTGGGAGGCTGAGGCAGGAGGATTGCTGCGAGTTCGAGACCAGCCTGGGTTACAAAGTGAGCTCAAAGCCAGCCTGAACTGCATAGCGAGACCCTGTTTCAAAAAGACAAAAAAAAATTTAAGATTAAAAATATTTTTAAAATATTGTAACTGCAGTGAACATGTAGACAGTTTCCTGTCATTATTCCCTAAACAATACAGTAAAATAGTATTTGCATAGCATTTGCTAATATGGAGATGGTTTAAATATATACAGCACATGTATGTAGGTTGTATACAAACAGGAGTTTGTTCTATGTAAGGGTCTTGAGTATCCATGGATTATGGTACCCTGGGGCACCCTGGAATTACTCCCTCTGGACACTGAAGGACTGTCCTAGAATTCACATTTTGGAGAAAGATGTCGGTACAGAGACCGGTGAGTCCAGCAAATGGTGGACATTAGTAATGTGGGCTGGATGTGGGTAAGATCTCAAATGGGTATGTTCCCAACCCGTGTCTTCCCTCTCTTAACCGCACATGTGGAAATACTGTCATAAACTTTCGGTCCATTAACTAGACCATCAGTTTCAGAAGTATACCTTCAACCTACTTCTTAGAATGGCATACTTGTCTTTAACATCTTTCCTGTTAATTTTTCTCAAGGGAGGAGGAGAAGAACTCTTAAAGGTGTTGATTAGACATGTAAACTTCCGAAAGGGACTGGAAAGATAATGGAGCAAAGAATAAAATAAGTATTAAGGTAATATAGAGAGGTTAATAGAAGAGAATGTAAATTTTTAAAAATATGACCTAAGAGCTGGAATATTTACAAAAACTTCTTCAAATATATGATACTCTGCATCCTAAGAGCTTTTTTGGAGGATAATTTCTCATGTGGCTTAACATAACTTCTGAAATTCTCAGAAAAAGAATCTGATTGCTAAATTATAATAGATGATTCTTTAAAAAGAAAAAAATTAGCTGGGCATGGTGGCACACGCCTGTAATCCCAGTGCTCAGGAAGCTGAGGCAGAAGGATCATTGTGAGTTCGAGAGCAGCCTGGGCTACAAAGTGAGTTCATGGTCAGCCTGAACTGCATAGCGAGACCCTGTCCCAAAAAAAAAAAAAAAAAAAAAAAAAAATTAGAGATAAATCTCAGCAAAGTGTTGATCCTGACTTCCATAACCACTGATGGACATGTGATAGAGAAGCTACTGCTGGGCTTAATTATACCAACATTAGAGTTTTGTCATCCAGATCCCAAGTATGTGATACCTCCTGATACAACATTTTTTGAACATAAGTTTGAAGTAACCCTAAAACCACAGCGCCAGGTCTAAACTTCTCATATTTTCATACATATAGTCACACTTACTGTCACTTACGGTCTCGGGTCTCTGGTTCCTTCCTGTTATTTTACCGCTCATCACATTGCTCTTTAAAAAGTGCTGGTGGGAGTATCTGGATAACGTGGAAGGGGAACTGAGGGAAACGGGGCCTATAAAGTTAAAAAATGTTGTCAGTTAGATCTCTGTGGCAAGGTGAAAGTGTAGATTTAATTTATGAAATTTTAGAGCTTAAAGTGGGCCCCTAATCCAGCTTCATCCATCAATCCTGAGTGAAGATGTAAGAACTTGGGCGGAGCAGGCATGGGGGCACAGGCCTGTGATCCCAGTACTTTGGGGGGCTGACGCAGTTTGAAGCCAGCCTGGGCCATTAGTAACTTGGAAGGACCCTGTCTTTACTTTCTTATTTTATTTATTTATTTTTTGTTTTTGTTTTTTGAGGCAGGGTCTTACTATGTAGCTCAGGCTGGCCTTGAACTCAATATGTAGCCTAAGCTGGCCTGGAACTCACATCAATCCTCCTGCCTCAGCCTCTAGAGTGCTGGGATTACAGGCATGCACCACCATACCCATTAAGACCCTGACTTTCTTTCTTTCTTTTTTTCTTTCTTTCTTTCCTTCTCTCTTTCTTTCTTAATTTTTTTGAGACAGGGTCTCACTATGCTGTTCAGGCTAGACTTGAGCTCATTTTGTAGCCCAGGCTGGTCTTGAACTTGCAACGATCCTCCTGCCTCTCAGCCTCCCAAGTGCTGGGATTACAGGCATGCGCCACCATGCCCAGATAAGAGCCTGATATTAAATAATTAATATAAAAGGGCTGAGGATGTAGCTCTATGCAAAGACTTGGATTCAGGGGCTGGGGATTTAGCTCAGCGGCAAAGTGCCTGCCTGGCAAGCGCAAGGTCGTGAGTTCGGTTCCCGGTACCGGAGAAAAACCAAAAAAAAAAAAAAAAAAAAAAAAAAAAGAGCTGGATTCAATCCCCAATACCTCCAAAACAAAAACAAAAAAGTCTTGGATTGAGTGTTTTGCTGAGAATCAGGCAAGTAAAAGAGATGGTGGGAGAACTGGACTCCAGGAGATAAAAGTGGAGAGCCTGAGGCTTCCAATTAATAGCATGTGGTAATTAGTGGACTGGTAGAGTGAGGAATCACTCAAATTTCTGGCTCACGATACTGGATATTTGGCCAGGCTATTTGCTGAGACTGAGTCTGCCCACGCCTACAGCGTCAGCCTGGAGAAGCAGAGAAAGGCAGGCTCCACTTCACCTGTTGAACTCGTGAGCCGGAGACGCCAGAGTGGAGACATCCAGTAGGCATCAGCTACACGGGTCTAGAGCCCAGAGGAGCGTCCCCAGCTGCAGGCGTAGACTTGGCAAACGGTAAAGCCACAGGAACACGGGCAGTTAACGTCCAGGAACAATGTGCAGAGAAGAGGCCAGAGCAGCTCTGATGTTTACGGAAGTCAGACACAAGAGGAACTGGAAAGAAGACTTCCAAACAGCAGCCAGGGAGAGAGGAGGAAAATCACAGGTGCAGAGCGGTGAAACTGAAGAGCAGATTGCAAAAGAGAAGGGCGTGGCCATCTGTTTCCGGCGCTGTGCCGGCAGGAGGGGAGGACTCCGCGGTGGCCTGTATCTAGAGACATGCAAGTCTTGGAAACCCTGGAATGAGCAGCTGCAGCGAAGCGATAGGAATAAAAGTGGAGTGCTGGGGGCACGACAGAGACCTATATTTGGCTCCCAACTACCATTCTTCCCTTTCTTAATTTTTTTTTTCAAATTTTAAAGAGTAAAAGAAGGATAACATAATAATGGGGGGGGGGGCTTACCAAATTACAGACAAAGTGGTAGGAAATTATCAATGGTTATTGTTTTCTATATTGTTATCTACAAGAAAGTTTCTCAGGAAACAAATAGACAAATAATAGTGAGTTACAGACAAAAGAGGTAGGAGATTATCAAGAGTTGTGCTATACTTTGGAATCTTCAAAGTGGCTTCTAAAGGAAATAAACAGAGCTATACATGAGCGACCTATTGAATAATCATTAACTATTCTCAATGGTTGTTGTATGAAACACATAATAATAAACATACATTCAGAAATAGAATAGGAACAATACAAACATTACAGAGTTATGGACAGATTAGTAGGAAAATATCAATGGCTGCTGCAACACATGGTGGTGTCTTCAAAGTGGTTTCTCAGGAAGACAGAGGTGCGCAAGAAGGATCTAACAAGTAGTTACAGCCTAAGGGTTGTCAAAAATAGCACGTTACCTCCTCACCAGTGACTCCTTTCACTGAGGTATGATGGCTGGAAGGAAGGCCAGGATTGAAAAGAAGGACCGAGAGACTTGCACCTGCATCTAGCAACAGGCTGTTTTCTTGTCTCTCCATAGTCATGATTACCCAGGGCTCCTCCATGGAGATAATGGTCTGGCCAGAGGGAGAAGGCAGAGTATGCCCCGGGCCCCCTCATTCCTGTTGGACTAACTGGTAGGATGGGTCTGAGCTCTGGGGCCTCCGCTTCAGAGGGCAGACCGCTCTCCAGTGGTCACCTTTGCAGTCAGGGGCCTTTCTTCTTTAATAATAGAACCTTAAACTTTTTGTTGGACACATAGTATCCTGGAATAAAAGCTCCATGTCCTTGTCTCCTTTGTGTAGTTTTTAGGCGAAGTGTTGGCCAACAAGATATATCCAGAAGTGCCACCTGTGACTTCCGGGAAGGAAGCAGTGGCCTCTTTTTGTCTCCCTTCTTCCTGTTGTCTAGAAAGCTTAAGCAGCCATCTTGGCTCATGAGGCGGAAGCCACAAATTGAGAATGGCAAACTCTGAGAGAAACTGGGGTGCTTGCTGGGGGCAGAGCCACTGTAACAGCCAGCTCGACAGCCCACTGCTAAGCTTTGCTAACAAGAAGTGACAAAAAAAAAAAAAAAACAAGAAGTGACATTCTTATAATGTTTCAGCCACTGTTATTTATTACTTTTTGTTGTGAATATAGCAAATCTTTTAAGAAGTTTTATTGTTGTTGTTATTGTTTGTAGTGCTGGGGATTGAACCTGGGGCTTTGTGTACTCTTGAAAAGCTCTCTACCACTGAGCTACATACCCAGCACTCTTCTCCAAAGTTTGTGAAGAAAAAGAGGAAGGCCAGGAAAAGGACAAGACATATGTGGTGAAGGGAGGCTTTTAGCTTTCAGTGGATTTTGACTCTGGCACAGATATGACTGACATGTAATTGTTGGTTGCAAGATTACAAGGGTGCATGGATGGGAAATGCAAGTGTGTAGAAAGGAAGCAGATAAAGTTTCAAGATTCCTGAGAAAGCCAGGTATGGTGGTGCACACCTGTAATCCCAGCACTCAGGAGGCTGAGGCAGGAGGATCATTGTGAGTTCGAGGCCAGCCTGGGCTACAAAGTGAGCTCAAAGTCAGCCTGAACTGTACAGTGAGACTCTGTCTCAAAAAAAAAAAAAAAAATCCCTGAGAATCTAGGAGCAAATAAGATCTTGTGATGGAGACCACTACACAGCAGACATGAGCAGGACTTAAATTAATCAATTGGCTTTTCATGTTCACTTGTGGATCTGTCCAAGGCCTTGGCTCCTTATCTGGAAATGGCAGACTCATAGTAAGTGAACCTCTGTGAGTCACTAATCCCTACTAGAACCAATAGTGGTGGACGAAGCCAGAAAGCCTCAAAGGATAAAACAAGATCACAGCCAAGGACACCTGGATCAGATCTCAACTAGATAAAGACTGTAGCCTCAGGCATCCCCTTCTTGAGTGGATTAACTTAATACCTTACTTGGAGAAGTCCTTGAGTGGTTCCACCCTTCTTGAGTACCCCCCTCCCTTCTGATAACCAAGTGAATACAGGCCACCCAGAGAAGGTCTTGGTCTTAGCCCTGAGAGAATCTTGAGTTCTGCAAGAGGGGTTTGATCCTCCTGGAGCCCTGAAATCATACCATTTGCCTCTTTCTATTTAGCCTTTGTTGTACACTCATTCAGGAGATTGCAGACCTGATCAGCCCGAAGTAACTAAGGGATACTATTAACCCCATAATGTTGTCCACAGTGACTGGCCCAAGAAGGAAAAGCACAACAATACTGGCCTGTTTTGTTTTGTGGCTATGATGAATCACTTGAGGCAAGGTAATTCTATAGAGAATGTAAGTTTATTTCATTCACTGTTCTGGAGAGTGACCATCCAAGATCCTATGGTGGGGATGCAGGCTGGAGTCCAGCAGTTCCAGACCCCACCCAGGAGAGCCTCACTGCCGGGGTACTTGAGGAAGGAAGAGATCACATCTGGAAACATGAAGCCAGAGAGAAGCTCCCTAGTGACCTATGGACCTCCGACTCGGCCCCATCCCTTACAGGTCCTGCTGCCTCTCAGCAGCCTCCCACTGGAGATCAAGCCCCTGACACATGGAACTTGGGGAAAACATCCATACCACATCCAAACCAGAGCAGGCACCTTCTCTTCTTCATAGGAAAGAAGGAGAAACAGCTGAGGATCCACAGAGGTGGGCTGGGATAAGAAACGGAGGGAGTGCCTATCTGACAGGTTTTAGTTCCCCTGAAGCTGGAGATGAAGGGTTGGGGAGGGTGAGGTCTAAAGAGATGAGGAGGATTTGAAGTCGTTGCTGCAGAGAGGACAGAGTGAGCTGACCCCACCTCGATGCCGGTGGAGAAATGGTGAGCTGGCCCAAGACAATCAGGCATCTTACTCCCTGGCTTCAGGGATCTATTCAAAACTGGCGCATGACTCAAGGTGGCCTAGTCGGAGTCCATGCCCTACTCCTGCCTTGCTGGCCTTGAATACAGAGGTGGGAGCCATCTTACTGCCTAAGGGACCCCACTTCCTTTCTGCTCCCAGCCTCCTCAGAGCCCAGGGACAGAGATAAAACAGTCCTCATGAAATAGCTCCAAGTTTGCTCAGGCTGCCTTGACCCAGTGCACCTCTGAACACTTTATAGCTTTGTCAGTCAGCTGACCTAATGCTGTCTTTAAGCATTTCAAATGTAACTGCTCTAGGGCCGGGGATATAGCTCAGTGGCACAGCACCTGCCTGGCAAGGGCAAGGTCCTGAGTTTGATTCCTAGTTAAAAAAAAAAAAAAGAAAAGAAAAAATAAGAGTAACTGCTCTAGGACAAATTGTAGTTTCTCAGGAATTGCAAGATCCAGTGAGTCAACATTAACTTGAGGTAAAAAGAGCATGATCTTGACAGTGCCTATGTTTTGACAGGGAACACAGGGAAGTTGCTGTTGCTGCTATAGGAAGGAGAGATCTAGAACCCTTCAAGATTCCAGCTAGCGGGCCAGGGATATAGCTCAGCAGCATAAGCACTTGCCTGGCAAGCCTGAGATCATGAGTTTGATTCCTGGTACAAAAATAAAAAAGATCATGTGAAGATTCCGGCTAGCACCAAGTATGGTGGTGCATGCTTGTAATCTTAGCACTTGGGAGGCTGAGGTGGGAGGATCTCCTGTGAGTTCAAGGCCAGCCTTGGCTACATAGTGAGCTCAAGACCAGACTGAACTGCATAGTGAGGTCCTGTCTCAGAAAAGAAAAGGAAAAAAAAAAAAAAGAAAAGAAGAGAAGAGAAAAGGAACAATCCAGCTGGCCAATAGCTGAGGAGGAAAAAATGGAACAGGGCTGACTTTTACCCTTCAGCACTGCTAGTACAGTTGATGACTGTCCCCTTGGCATGTTAGGTGCCAAAAAGACAGCTATGACCTAGTTCCTTGACATGTGATTCTACAAAGTCCTCTTCTCACTGCAGAAGGGAACAACAGGGCTGTGGCCTGGGAAGAGCCTCCCTGTGATTTAGGCCCCATCCATAGCTTGGGAAGGAGGGTTTCCCACCCACCTGTACCTCACTCCAGTTCTCCATACCTAAGCATCAGAATATACATTATTTCATTAATCCTCAGGACAAGCCCTTTAGGTTGGTATTCCCATTTTACAGAAAGGCTAATGAACCCTTCTGAGGTCATACAGCCAGCAGTGACAGGATTCTGGCTTGTCTTCCTCCAAAGCTCAACTGTTAGGCTATGCTACATAATGGGAAGGGACTTGGCTGATCCTAACAAAAGGAAAATCTTAATGTTTGGTGATATTTCTGAGAGTCAGAGCTAGAGGAGAACCATTTATTTAGTCTTCGTCTTACAGAAGAGGAAGCAAGTTTACTGTCATCCAGAGGACTGTTTCAGCTGCCATTTTTGTGTGCTGCCCTTAAGCCCCCATACCCAAGCGTCACAATGCACTTTGTGAATAACATCAGAGAAATGTGGTCATCAGGGTCCCAAGCCATTACGATGCTTCAAAGCCCTGTGAAGTACTCCGTGTTCTTTAAGAGGTATGTTGTGCATCCCTAGACCAGTTGTTACTATTGATTGAAACATTTTGGAATAGATGTGAGTACTCCACAGTAAAGGAGAAAATTCTAACTGAAAATCAGAATTAAGCTTTATCCGTTCATGTGCTATTCATTCATTCACTCAACAAACATTGTGGGGAACCCACAATAGCACCTGGCTTGTTACTATTAGTCACGGAGGCCCTTGGTCAATGCAGACCCCCGAGACTGGGTAATTCTTGAGATGGAGACTGGTATGCTTACCACGCGGGGAGCTCATCGGGACGGATGGCTGCTCAGGGAGACTGAGCTGACTCTGTAGCTCTTCCACCCGCCGGAAGGCGTCCAGCTTCATGCTGTGCTCCTGGGCAAGCCGGCTTCTCAGCTGAGGGGACAGGGGTGGGAAGTGGAGATGCTGTGTGTGCTCACGTTAGTTCCCGAAGTTCACACCAGAGCTCTGAGGAAGGGTGTGCACCCAGGTCACCCCGGCACCAGCAGCAGGTCTTCGCAAAGTCCTGGATAAGCTGAACTCAGACCTAACCTTGTCCTTCTAAGAATCCAGGACTTCAGGAAGACCAGAACTTAACTTGGTGATACCGGGGACTGGACCCAGGGACCACCAAGCTGCCTCCCCAGCCTTTTTATATTTTATTTGGAAATAGGGTCTCACTAGGTTGGTGTTGAATCCTCTTGCCTGACCTTTATGTATTTTTTATGTTTATTTCATCAGACAGGTTGAGGAATAGGCAGTTTAGGGCTCAGTTCACACAGGATCAAGGGACAGAGTCTACACGAAGGACCCAGAGGAGCCCCTGCAGTCTAAAGTGGAAGAAAGACTTGATGCCCCTCCCAGATCACTATCTCAGCTCAGCGTGTCTGGGAGGTCCTTGGGCATCACTCCCTGGCCTTCGACAAGGCCAAGCCCTGGGATCAGGCTCTGGATTGCTTTGGACAGCTCTTCCTTTGCACCTGACCTTGGTCCCCCAGCTGGACAGGAGCTGGGTCCAAAGGGACCTCATTTACAGAGACCACAGGCACTTCTTTTTAAATTTATCATTTAACAAACAAGGAATACATATTGTAGTGTGTTGAATAGTGTCCCCTCAAAATTCATATCCTCCTGGAACTTATGTGACCTTATTTGGAAATGGTGTCTTTGCAGATACAACTAAGTCAGGATGAGGCCACAATGGGCTTAGGATGAACCCTACATCTAATGACTTTGTTTTGTTTTGTTGATACATGGAATAGAACTCAGGACCTTGTGCTTTCTAGGCAGGCAGTGGGCCACTAAGCTATATCCTTGGCTGTTTTTGTTTTGTTTTGTTTTGAGACAGGGTCTCACTGAATTGCCAAGTTGCCTAGGGTGGGGTTGAATTTGTGATCTTCCTGCCTCAGACTACCAGAATGCTGGGATTACAAGTGTAAGCCCACAGACTGACCACTGCCTTTTCAAGAAGAGGACAGGGTAAAGATACTATTGTATCTTGTATCTAGATGTCCACCCAGACCCTCATGTGGTCATAGGTGGAGCTTTTCAGAGGTGGCTGGATCTAGAGTGTGTGACACTGTGATTGAGGATGTGCTGCTGGTTCTGATTCATGGTGTGATGGTAGGACTATGGGTGTCCCACCCTGGGAGTGAGTGCTACTTCTCCTAAGGACAGGAAGCCTGGGTAGAATATAAGGGATGTGAACCGGGTGCTGTTGTCACTGCTTATTGCTTGCTATTTTGCTGCTTTGCTGCTTTTCTACCTTCTATGAACTGTTTCTCCTCTGTGATGCCCCTCTGGCATGTGCCACCCCAGCTTGGAGTCAGCTGATTGTGGACTGAAAGCTCTACAAACTGTAAGCTACAATAGGCCTTTGCTCCTTTAACTTTGTGTCAGGTATTTTGTCTCAGCAATGGGAAAAGTAAGACAGACACAGAAGGGCACATAAGTGAGCAGGCCATGGGATGATGAAGAGAAATGGGGGTGACACAACTACATACCAAGCAATGCTGAGTGCTGGCTGTCACTAGAGGCCAAGGAGGAGACTGGGATGGTTTTCCTCAGAGCTTCTTTAAGGAATCAGTTTTACCAATACCTCAAGTTTAGACTTCTGGTCTCCTGAACAGTGATAAAATAAATTTCTATTTTTTCAATCATCCAAATTATAGGAATTTAGCTGGGCATGGTGGTGCACGCTTGTAATCCCAGCACTCAGGAGACTGAGGCAGGAGGATCCTTGGGAGCTTGAGGCCAGCCTGGGCTACAAAGTGAACTCAAGGCCAGCCTGAACTGCATAGCAAGACCCTGTCTCAAAAAAAAAGGAGAAGGCAATTGGCTGGTAGCCATGTTGGAGAGAGGACAACTGAGCTCAGAACTCAACTGCACCTGCAGGCTGGCTCCATCTAGTAGCTCCCAGTGTCAGGGTGAGGCAGAACTGAGTTCAAATTGGCAGAAGGTTGAGGAGCTGAATTCATGGCAGGAGGCACACACACTGTTGCAGGCTGAACAAATTAGGTTCCACCTTCACAGCCAAACCCAGCCTAAACTTCAGTGGAACTAAAGGTGCAGACTTCCTGGGGTTATCCACCACCTCACTGTAAATCTGTGGCTGGCTGGCTGGTATTAATCAACATGGATCTGGGCTCTGTCTGCCCAGAGTCTACCAGTGACGGCACGGCCATGTCCTGAAGTGGACATTTTTTGTCTTGTTTGTGTTTGTTTTTGTTTTGTTTTGTATTCTTCTTTTTATGGATTGTTTGTTCTTGTTTTCATATGAATGGGAACATTGTTTCTAGTTTTCTTGTTGTTCTGTTCTTGTTTTTATTTCTACCTTCTCTCTTTCCCTTCTGTCTTCTTCACCATTTCCCAGAGTTTGTGTGATCTTTTGTCCTCTAGCACTGCTTCTATTCTCTTCCTCTTCTATTTCTCTATTTTCCCCCCTAACCTCTTTTAAATTTTCTGCCTTGAGGGTAAAATCACCATATTAAGGGCATATTTACTACATATAATTTTCTGGTTTGTTTTAGGTTTTGCTATATAATCATAAACATAGTTCATATGGTTAAAGGTGGCAAATTAATGTCTACCACTGTCTGTCATGTTTTATGCTGTGTTTGATGCCATTGTTATTGCCGACTGGTGGGGATATAGCACAGTGGCACAAGTGCCTGCCTGGCAAGCACAAGGTCCTGAGTTCAATTCCTGGTACCAAAAAAAAGGATGACTTTTGCCAGAGATATAGCTCAGCAGCATAAGCGCTTGCCTGGCAAGCCTGAGGTCATGAGTTTGATTCCCAGTACCAAAAAAAAAAAAATGATTGTTATTGGTGATTGTACTACTTTAGCCAAGGTGATATCATTATACTAATCAGTCATTCTTCCTGGTATGCCAAAACCGAGATTACGTAAGGGTCATAAACTATATGACCATTCTTAGGCCATTGCCACAGAACCAGGGGCAGGTCAAATAGGCAAGCAACTCCTCATTCCCAGCAAACTGAAGAGAGAGGATCTTGAAACATACTCAAAACCCAAAAGCCAACAACACCTGGAAGACATCTCTGAGAAGCAGTCATTTCCCAAGGGTTTTGAATACTAGTAATAAAGCTACCTGCCACAAGCAGTTTACAAGCATCAACCTAAGACTTAGACTTTAAAAAAATAGAAAATGAGAAGACACTTAAGATGCAACCCCAGGCTTCCAGCTCACCAAAGCCAAACACAGGTAGCAATTACATGAAACAATCTGAAAGCCACCCACCTGAACTCTCTAAAGTGGTAACAGTGAAGTAATAAGGCAGATGAATGAATCAAATCAGAAATAATCTCTCAGATAACTATAGTAATGGTGACCATAATGAAAGACATGGTTAGTGACTCTAGAGCAGATACAGATAACAAAATAGAGGAGGTTAGGAAAACAATGGAAACCAAGAATACCAAACTTAGGGGAAAAATGGAATACATGAAACAGATTCAAACACATATACGGGAGATTAAAATTCCATTGAAAGTATGCACAATAGAATGAGCCAATGTGAGGACAGAATATCAGATATAGAAGACAGGATTGCAGTTAGCGATCATGAAAAGAAAGACTTCTTAAAAATAGCAAAGGATCATGAAAAATCAATCCAATAGCTGCAAAGAAGAATAACTTAAGATTGATCAGAGTCAATTAAAAAGCAGGAGATAGCACAAAAAACATAAAAAAAACCTGTTCACAAAAGTAATGCCAGAAAACTTGCCAAGCATTGAAAAAGAATTTGACATACACTAATTGAGGCGTATAGAACTCCAATTAGCCATGACCAAAAAAAAAAGCTACACCAAGGTATATAATAGAAAACATTCCAAAAATTCAACATAAGAATGGAATATTAAAATCTGTTAGAGAAAAGAAACAAATCACATATAAAGGAAAGTCCATCAGAATCACAGCAGACTTCTCAACACAAACCCTCAAGTCAAGGAGAGCTTAGAAAAATATTTCATGCCCTAAAACAAAACAAAACTCTTCCAACCCAGATTGATGCACCCTGCAAAACTAACTTTCAAAACTGATGAACAAAGCCAGGAGTGGTGGTGCACACCTGTAATCCCAGCACTCAGGAGGTTGAGGCAGGAGGATTATTGCAAGTTCAAGGTCAGCCCGGGCTACAAAGTGAGCTCAAGGTCAGCTTGAACTGCATAGTGAGACCCTATCTCAAAAAGACAAAACAAAACAAAACAAAACAAAAAAATAATGAAGAAATAATATACTTCCACAACAAAGAATACCTCAAGAAATTCATGACCACCAAACCAAGACTCCAAAAAGTTCTGAAGGACATTCTAGAAAGACAGAACAAGGATTACAACTCCATGAACCCCAACAGAATGAATCCACTAGGCAAAGCAAGTAATTAAACAGAGAGGGAAAAAAGGGAACTAGAAACAGGAAACTAACATAACAAGGATAAGTTCATACATATCAGTTATAACCATCAATGTAAATGGTCTCAATTCACTAATCAAAAGAAACAGATTGGCAGGATAGATCAAGAATCAAGATCCAAAAACATGCTGCATGAAGAAATACATTTAATTCAAAAATAACTTCATAGACAAAACAAAGGATGGAAAACAATACTCCATGTGACAGGAACCCAGAAAAGAAAAAAAAACCACAGGTAGCTTTTCTATTTCCAGATAAAGTGGATTTCAAGCCAAGACTGATTAAGAGAGACAAAGAATGTCATTATATCCTTGTAAAGTGAACAATCGAAGAGGAAGAAATAATAATGATAAATATATATGCACCAAATACCTGTTCACCCAACTATATAAAAGAAATAAATGCTGGGCATGGTGATGCATGCCTGTAATCCCAGCATTCAGGAGGCTGAGGCAGGAGGACCACTGAAATTCAAGACCAGCTGGGCTATGAAGTGAGTGAAGACCAGCCTGAACTGCATAGCAAGACCCTGTCTCAAAAAAAAACACAAAAAACAAATATTAACAGGCAAGAAAAATCAAATAAGCACTAATGCAATTGTAATGGGGGAACCTCCATACCCCACTGTCACAAACAGATAGATCAACTAGACAAAAAAAAAAATCAACAAATATAAGAACTGAATGAAATTTTTGGACAAATGGACTTAGTAGATGTCTACAGAGTGCTCAACCCCACACCATCAGAATACACACCCTTCCCAGTTGTACACAGGATGTTCTCCAGAATAGACCACATACCAGCTCATACAGCATGCTTAAGTAAATGCATTGAAATTATCCCATGCATATTATCAGACCACAATGTGATGAAATTGGAAATCAGTGTGAAAAGAAACAGCAAGAACTTCATAAACACATGGAAATTAAATAACATCCTCCTGAATGAACAATGGGTCACAGATGAAATTAAAGAAGAAATTAAACAATTTCTACAATTAAACAATAATGACAATACAACATACCAGAACTTATGGGACACAATGACAGCAGTTCTTTGAGGGAAATTTATAGTGGTGAATTCCCATATCAGAAAAACAGAGTGAACTCACATAAACAACTTAAACCTCAAACTTCTGGAAAAAGAAGAGCAAGTCAAGCCCAAAGCCTGTATGAGGGAGAAAATTATAAAAATCAGAACAAAAAGTAATGTAATGGAGATTAAGAAAACAATACAAAGAACCTACCAACTGAAGAGTTGGTTCTTTAAAAGATTAAATAAAATTGAAAAATCCTTAGCCAATCTTATCAAAAAAAGACTCAAATCCATGCAATTAGAAATGAAAAGGGTGAAATCACAACAGATCCTGCAGAAATCCAGAAGATCAATACCTACTTTGAGAACCTGTATTCTAATAAGATGGAAAATGCAGAAGAAATGGACAGATTCCTAGATACATATGAATTATCCAAACTGAATCAAGAAGATATAAATAGTCTAAACAAACAAATATTAGTCAAGAAATTGAAGCTGTAATTAAAAACCTATCAACAAAGAAAAGCCCAGACCTTGATTGATTCACTGCTGAATTCTACAAGAAATTTAGAGAAGACCTAATGCTACTACTTCTCAAACTCTTTAATGAAACTGAAAGGGAAGCCATACTCCCAAAATGATTCCTGGAAGCAAGCATTATCCTGACACCAAAACCACAGAGATCCAAGCAAAAAAAATGGAACTATAGGCCAATCTCCAAAATGAACACAGACACAGAAATCCTCTCCATAAGATACTGGAAACAGAATGCAGCAAATCATCAAGAAGATTGGTCATACACCATGACCAAGTAGGATTCATCCCAGGGATGCAGGGACGGTTCAACATATGCAAGTCAATAAATGTAATACAACATATTGACAGAACCAAGAACACAAACTATATGATCACTGATGCAGAAAAAGTATTTAACAAAGTTAAGTTTTGATAAAGTTTGACAAAGACAAAGTCCAATACCCAATCATTATAGAAACCTTACAGAAAATTGGAATAGAAGGTATTTATCTCAATAAGGATAGGAAAGGAAGAAGGTAAATTATCATTATTTGCAGATGACCCAAAAACTCCATCAAAAGACTTCTAGATTTAATAACCAAATTCAGTAGCACAGCTGGAAATAAAATCAACACTCAAAAATCAATACCCTTCCCATACACAAATAAAAAAAGTTACTGAGAGAGAAATTAGGGAAACAATACCTTCCACAATAGCAACCAAAAATAAAAAAAAAAAAACAACTAAGAAACAATCTAACAAAGGAATTAAAAGACCTCTACATTGAGAACTACAGTATTCTGAAAAAGAAGACTGAAGAGGATATCAAACAGTTGAAAGATAGCCCTTGCTTTTTGGTAGGAAGAACCAATATAGTTAAAGTGGCCATATTTTCAAAATTTTTATACAGATCTAATGAAATCCTGTTCAAAATTCCAATAGTATGTTTCACAGAATTAGAGAAAACAATCCTAAAATTCATTGGGAACCAGAAGAGACCTAGACAGTGGCACAAGTGCCTGCCTGGCAAGCGCAAGGTCCTGAGTTCGATTTCTAGTACCAAACGACAAAACAAAACAAAGAGACCTAGAATATCAAAGGCAATTCTGGGCAACAAGGGCAAGGCAGGGGACATCACAATCCCAGCCTTGAAATTGTATTACAAAGCTACTATGATAAGCTGGGCTTGGGGTACATGCCTGTAACCCCAGCACTTGGGAGGCTGAGGCAGGAGGATCACTGCAAGTTTGAGGCAGCCTGGGCTACAAAGTGAGTTCAAGGCCAGCCTAAACTTCATAGTGAAACTGTCTCAAAAAAAAAAAAAAAAAAGCTACTACGATTAAAAAAAAAAAACAACAACCATGGTACTGGCAAAAACCAGACCCAAGGATCAATGGAACAGATTAGAAGAGGCAGAAACAACTCCAGACACACACAGTGATCTTATCTTTGTTGACAAAGCTGCCAAACACATTCACTGGAAGAAAGATAGCCTCTTTAAGAAACGGTGCTGGAAAAACTGGCTTTCCACATGTGGAAGAGTAAAATTGGACCCATGTCTTTCACCATGCCCTGAACTAAAATTGAAATTGATCAAAGATCTAAATACTAAAGCAGAAATATTAAATCTGCTGGAATATACAATAGGTAAAACTTTTGAAGACACTGGTGTAGGCAAGACTTTATGAACAAGACCCCAATCTCAAAGGAACTATCCCAAAAAACAACTGGGATCTCATCTTATAGAAAGCTTTAGTGCAGCAAGAGAAACCAACAAGAGAGTAAACAGGCAATCCACAGTGTGGGGAAAAAAGTGTTTGCTAGCTGTTCCTCAAACAAAGGATTACTATCTAGAATATATAAAGAAGCCGGGCATAGCGGCACATGCCTGTAACCCCAGCACCCAGGAGGCAGAGGCAGAGGCAGAGGCAGAGGCAGGAGGATCACCACAATCAAGGCCAGCCTGGGCTACATAGGGAATTGAAGGCCATCCTGAACTACATAGACAGACCCTGTCTCAAAAAGACAAACAAACAAACAAACAAAACCCAAATATATAAAGAACTCAAAAAATTCAGATCCCCCAGATTTAAAGACCCAATCCAAAAATGGGTATCTGAGATAAATATACATTTATCAGATGAAGTACCAATGGCAAATAAATATGAAAATATATTCAACATCATTGGTCATCGGAGAGATGCTAATTAAAACAACGCTGAGATTCCTTCTCACCCCAGAAAGAATGGCTATTATTATTATTTTGTCGGGGGAGGATACCGGGAATTTAAATCAGGACCTCATGCTTACCAGGCAGGTGCTGTACCACTGAGCTAAATCCTGGGCCCCTAAAAATGGCTGTTATCAAGAAATCAACCAAGGGGACTGGGGATTTAGTTGGGGGCTGGGGATTTAGCTCAGAGGCACAGCACCTGCCCGGCAAGCGCGAGGTTATAAGTTCGATTCCCAGTACCAGAAAAAAACAACAACAACAAAAAGAAATCAACCAATAACAAATGCTAGAGGGGCTGTGGGAAAAAAGGAACACTTCTCCACTGTTGGTAGGAGCATAGACCAGTGCACCCACTCTGGAAATCAGTGTGGAGATTCCTCAAAAAACTAAAATAGAGGTTCCATTTGACCCAGCTATTCTCCTTCTTGATATCTTCCCAAAAGAATTAAAAGCATCACACAATGATATATGCACACCCTTGTTTATAGCACCACAGTTTGTAATAGCCAAATCTTGGAAACAGCCCAAAAGCCCATCAACTGATAAATGGATAAAGACGTGGGTTTTTCATACAAGGGAGTACTACTCTGCTATAAAGAAGGATAAACTTGAACCATTTCTAGAAGGATGCACCTTGAGACCACACTTTTAAGTGAAATAAATCGGACACACTTCTTTTTGTTTGTTTGTTTGTTTGGTACCGGGAATCCAACTCATGACCTTGCGCTTGCCAAGCAGGCGCTGTGCTGCTGAGCTATACCTCCTGCCCTGGACACACATGTTTAAATATCACATACTTTCTATGGTATGAGAAACCAAAAGTGTAAATAAGGATCAAAATATATAATAGATATTGGGAAATGGGAAAAAATTTTCAAACGAGAAGGGGAACAAGGAAAGGGGGAGAGGGAAAGGAAGGGACAAGAACAAAGGAATAGAAGGAAAAATGGAAACACAGCTTTTGTAAATAAGGAGGAGAAGAAGGGTTGAAGAGGGCGGAGGGGAACTGGAAAAAACAGAAGCAAGTTGCGTCACGGACAGGCACAAATTCCCTATGATGGACTCGATCATTACGTATATCTACACTGTACCAACAAAGAAAGAGAAGTGACTATTTCTCCGCGCCTGGAAGAGGGAGGCGGGACCCTGCTGCGGAGGGCAGCCGGCCGGAGCGCAAGACGCCTTTTGGGGCGCACCTGGTGGAGCTCTCTCTCTAGCTTCCTCCGCTGCAGCCGGCCCAGCTGTGAGGCCCTCTCCGCCTCTTCAGTCCGGAGCTGGAGTTGCCCTTCCTTGAGCCGCACGTCCTCCAAGAGCTTCTCCACGCTACATGTCCTTATGCCGTCCAGCTGCCGCCGGGTGAGGGCCTCCTGGGTCGCCCTGTGTTCGGACTCCTTCAGCAGCTGAGCCTGTGAGGAAAGGGCCACAGGGCCAAAGAAGGGAACTGTTCCTTCCCGGCAGCAGCAGGTCTCCGTGGAGGAGACAGCCCGGCTATTCTGGCCTGTGTGAGCGGGGACACAGGACCTTGCCTGGCCTGATGTTTAGACTGTGAGCCCCGAGGCCCACAAATAAACTGAACAAACGAGTAAATATGCAACAACAAAACCCAGGCAAGTGGTGATGCTACCCTACACCAATATAAGGCCAACTAATTTTTATTTTATTTATTCATTTTATTTTATTTTTTAAATTTATTCATTTTATTTTTATTTATTTTTCTGACTTTTATTTTATTTATTCATTTATTTTTTTTAAGACAGGGTCTCGCTGGTAATGCAGGCTGGTCTTGAACTTGCTTTGTAGCCCAGGCTGGCCTCCAATGCATATAGCGATCCTCCTGCCTCAGCCTCCCGTGTGCTGGGATTACAGACCCGTGCCGCCACACCTGGTTAATTTGAACTTTTAATACTAACATTTGATGAAAATGTGTGCTATGCTTAGCTTATTAACCAAATAATCATATTCATCCTACGGTTTGCATTGTCATGGGTTGACAACAGCTGAAGGGTTTAACTCTGGAGAGGAGGGGCAGGCCATAAAGCAATGAATCAGGAGGGACATTCTGATTTTGGCTTTGTTTTTACTTTCAAAATAGCTCCGGGGAAGCCAGATTCTACAAGGCAAAGAGTAGTAATAATTTGGTTCTGTCCCAAAGTTTTTTAAATCAATAGTGCTCTAAGAATTCAAAGAGGTCAGTTCTTAGTAATAATCTTAACAATGATTATGCATATTTGTCTGGTGCCTTTATAGCGTACCCAGCACTTTGTATAACCAGCTCATCTGAAGCTGCTCATAGAAGAATTAGGGTGCAAAAAAGCACAAATTACATTTCATGCTTTACATGTGCCCCGCTTTCCTGGGCTGTATTTAAACTTAACTGTTCCGAGTCTACGCCTAGGACAGATGTGGAGTGCCAACGTATTCTAATGGATTTGGGCACATTTCAGAGCAGTTCCTATGAGATAAAGGGGTCTAAAGCTACAGTCTCCTGCTTCACTCATGCCAGGGGGTTGGCACACTTGTGAAAAGCTTAAGCCCAAAGCGCTTTATCATAGGCCAGCTTCCACGGAGCAGCCCCACTTCTGAAAGGAAGACAGTGCAGCTCCCTGGCAAGGCCCAGACACTCTGCGCTTGGGGCTGACACTGCAGCCGGGACGCCTGCTGCGCACGGACAGGGTGCCTGGAGCACGAGAAGCCAGGACTTGCGTGGGAGACCTCGGTCCTGAGGTGCGCTTTGATCCTGATGAGTAATGTCTTTACAGGGGAGCCAAATACAAGAATAAAAGCCTCCTGCACTGGCCTTGGCTTGTGGGCTGAAATGGGGGAGAAGGAGGCCGAGGGCAGGGGCATCTTTCCTGAGTGTGCCGTCTGCCTGGCCTCACAGTGTGCGGCCCTGGCGGCCCGGGGCTGCGCCTACGGCCATGCTGAGCTTTGCAGACTGCGTCCAGAGACAGGGAGGAAGAGGCCCTGCGGCTGCGGTACCTGCTGCTCCTGCTGCTCCCGCAGCCTCGAGTTGTCAGCCTGAGCGCTGGCCAGGGCCTGCCTGAGGGCCAGTAGCTGCTGACGAAACAGACCCGCTTCTTGTTCGGCCATTAGTTTGATGCGCAGACATTCTTTTTTACTTTGAATAGATTCCTGTTAATAGTAAGGTAGCAGATAAGTTTCCTTTCCATACTTTTAGTTTCACAATCAGTATATGAAGCACTTCATACTCTGTCCTTTATTTTTTTTATTTTTTATTTTTTGTCTGGTCTCTCTGTGCAGTTCAGGCTGGCCGTGAGCTCACTTTGTAGCCCAGGCTGGCCTCGAACTCCCAAAGATCCTCCAGCCTCAGCCTCCCGAGTGCTGGCATTACAGGTGTACGCCACCCCTGTCCTCCTTTAAAACTCCGGGTAGAACAGATTTTTGTTGGTCACTGCTTTTGTGATTTTAATGAACAATGGCACCGATTCAGAATAAAGATTTTCAGAAACAGTAACTGGAGATTCCCAAGCCTCTATCAATATGTACTTTGGTTTTCAGTTGCCTTGAAGCAGAACTTCCACTTCTTATTTTGTTACTTCTTCTCCCTCAGATTATCATGAATGAGACCCAAAGACGGTGGTCTTTGGATGAAGCAGCCTTGAGTCCTGGATAAAAATCTCTCCTCCATCTTTTTATTTCCCTTGTGCTCCATTTTCTGCTCTGCTCTTCCTTGCAGTTGCTTCTGATTCTACCCTATCTCCCTAGGCTCTGCTACCGCTTCTGCCTGGGAAAAATCGCCAGCTGTCAGTTTTTGGCAAGGCCGCACCAGTGCGGGGGGGGGGGGTGAGGGCACAGTCTGGAGGACTTTGGAGCATCCCCTGGGCTGCGGGCTGCTCTCTCAGGTGCACTCACCTGCTCCGCCCTGCTCAGCTGGCCCCGGAAGCGAGCCTGCTGCGCAGCCAGTCTCCAGCGGCCCAGGCTCCTCACTGCGCGCAGCAGGGCGGCCAGGCGGCGGTTGTCCTGCTCCAGGGCCTGCAGCTGCTCCTGCCAACAAGGCCTCGCTTTAGGGAAAGACTCCCTCCAACACTTGTCCCTGAGGAAGGGGATGAATCCTAACAGCAGAAACTGCCCTCCAAAAGAGCACAGACTATAGTGAGTCCCAGCGCCTCTATATTCATTTACTATTTTCTTTACGTATTTATTTATGTATTTATTTTGCAGTGCTGGGGGTTAAGGCAGGGCCTTGTGCATGCTGAGCAAGTGATACATCCCCAGCCTCTGATTAATTTTTTTGAGACAAGGTCTCTCTATAGCCCGGGCTGGCCTTGATTTTGTGATCCTCCTGCCTCAGCCTGCCAAGCAGCTGGGATTATTGGCATGAGCCACTGTTCCCAGTGCAGTGTGTTCTCAGGGAAGTGTGACTGGCATGTTTTTTTGTTTTTGTTTTTTGTTTTTTGTTTTTTTGGTCTTTTTGAGACAGGGTCTTGCTATGCAGTTCAGGCTGGCCTTGAGCTCACTTTGTAGCCCAGGCTGGTCTTGAACTTGCAACGATCCTCCTGCCTCAACCTCCTGACTGCTGGGATTACAGGTGTGCGCCACCACGCCCGGCTCCGACTGGCATGTTAACAGTGAACAGTGGGGCAAATGCTGGGATGAAATGCTTACTACAATCACGTACTTTGGCTGGGTTTTCTTTCAGTCCTTTGTCAGGCCTGGCTGAACCCCATTTTTCCTTTAGCTCTTTCATACTGGCAGTCCCTTCTGTTCTGACTTCGTCGATGAGCTCACACACGTTCTGGATCAAATTAAGTTGATTCTCATCCAGCTTCTCCTGAAAAGTGCAGGCTCGGGTCAAAATGGCAGGACAGACAGTGGAGAAAGCTCTTTGCCTTCTAAAACCTAACCTTTGGAAGTGATTTCATGCTAGAACATCCCCACACACACAATTTCCCCAACATGCATTACACGGAAGCCACACATGGGCCTTGAGCACCAGTTGTAACCCACAGGGCGCCATCGCCCGGCCTCCAAATGTGCTGGAGCGCCTCGAGCCGGGATGAGAGAATGGTGAGGAGGCAGAGGCAGGAAACCTGCTGACCAGATTCCCCGGGGAGGGCGAAAGGGACAGCTGAACTGAGGAGTTTTGCAGCCGGGTTGACTCCGAGTAGAATCCGACCACAGAAGACACCGTAACTGAGCTACCACCAAGCAACTCCATTAAATATGGACAAGTAGAGGAAGAGATTGGGCTGTTTGCCTTCCATGATAGGCTCCAGCAGAAACCTCACAAGGAAGCATTCGGTTCAGGGGGCTATGGTGACGGCTTCGGTGAGACAGTATGATATAGGCCAAGGACAACTCTGGGCAGGGCTATGCACTCGATAATGTCCTTTCATATTTGCTCGCTGAAACCCTAACCCCCAATGTGGAGAGATAAGACCTTGAGGAAGTCGTTAAAGTTAAGATGAGGCCATAGGGCAGGTCCCTAGTCAGATAAGACTGTGGCCTGAGGAGAGGAGAAAGGCAGGGAGACCTTTTCTGTCTCTCCGTCTTGTGAGGACACACGAAGAAGGCGCCATCTGCAAACCAGAAACAGCCCATGCTGGTCTGTGACGCCCAGCACCTACAACTGGGACAAAATAAATTTCTGTCGTTTAAACTAACCAGTCTGTGGTGTTATTTTTTAATGGGAGCCTGAGCAGATGAAGACACCCAGAGTTCTCCAGAAGGCAAGCGGGTGGCGCCCGCTGAGAACTGCGGCAGGAGGCCTGGCTGCTGGGTGCACAGTAGAAGCGGCGTCATCTTCTTGGGGTTCTGGAGCAGAGTGGGGATTTCCTCCTCTGGGAGCTTTGGGGGAACTGCTTTAGCCCGGGAGAAGGAAAGAGTCCGCTTTATTATTCTTATTAATTATTATTATCTAGAAATCTGGCAGAAGCTGAAAGGAATTCGAGAAAACTCCTAATAATCTCACATCTGAAAGACGGCTTAACAAATCCCCACCTTCACTGTCTCTTCATCCCTCTCTGGCAGCACTAGGCCCAGTGCATTTTAGGTTTGATCTTTTAAGCGCTTGTAGTTCACAGATAAGAGGAAATCTCTAATCCTGTCTGGAATGAGTGGGCCAAGGCAGAGTGTTCCTGGGACTGTCTGTTAACATAATCCTAGAGACCCCTGTGGGAGCCCAAAGAGAGACAAGGGGGAGTGAGGACTCAAATGGGGTTGGATGGAAGGGCAGGGAACGGATTGGGTTGGAGAAAGCGATGGACTTGGGGGGTTGTAGGACTGTACTGAAGTGGATCACGCTCCCAGCAGCTGGGAGACTGTAAGAAAGTGACCGGCTTCCACAGTGCTGCGCACATGAGCATACCCACACGCCTGTCCTGGGACGGCGCTTTGGTGACAATACTCAGCTCAGTTAGGTATAAATACCATGGGCAGTCAGACAGGGCTGGGCCCCCGAAGAGTCAGTGCAGAAGATGAGACACACTACAACTGCAGCGGGAGACACACTTGTTGAAGGCTGGACTTTAAGAGAAAGACGGAATGACTACACCTATCTATCTCCCTGAGGGATAAACAGTAGCGGTCAATATTCTCAATAGGCATCAGTCACCTGGGTGGGGGACCAGGGCTTCCTGACCCATCACTTCCAGGAAAGGCCCTGTCCTTTCCATGTACACTTGCTACGTGACCGGCTTCCCCACGGGGCAGTGTCACCTAAGCAGCTACACTTGTCCTCTTAGTGGTTGATGACAGCTTTGACCCACCTTGCACCCACCTTGTGATTTTTCACCCACCTTGTGATTTTGCTCTATAAAACTTCCTCTGAGACGTGATCTGGTGCACAATCCGCTTTCTGAGTCCCCTGCTGTCTTAGGCAGTGCTGTCTTTCCCTCAATAAATGTCCTACTCTTAGCCATGGGTCCTCACAATTCATTCTTTGATTTTGGGGAACACGCACTCAGCATTTCAGACACCTAGCAGGCTGGGAGTTACAGTTCCCTTATATCATGTGGAGGCCCGACATCATTCCTCTCACAGCAGGTCAGCAGCTCCCTCACAGTGGATGTCGAGGAAGGCGGGTGGGCCTCCTGAGGGTTGAGAAAGTCTCTGAAAGCTGATTCCAGTTCTGAATCTGACTAGCAAGTTCCCAGGAGGGGACTGCTGCTCTCTCCACTGGAATCTGGCTGGGCCCAGGGCACTGTACTTGCCCAGCGGGGCAGCCTCCCTCCGTAGGAAGAACAGAGGTGGACCCCGGGGGGGATTCAGAGCAGAAAGCGCCCCTACTTGTAACACACCCAGACGGCAACGGCAGCAACTGGCAGGAAAGTGTGAAAATAAACATCTAAATTATCCAAGGGAGAATAATGACAATCATCTCCTCCTCCCCTTCCTCCTCCCTCCCATACCCTCCTCTTCTTCTTCTCTCTCTCTCCTCTCTCCCCCACTACCCCAGTGAAACAGCTGGAAAATTCTTCTCCAGAGACTCTTGTGACCACTAAGTCCATTCGTTCATTGAGCCACAGGGCTGCTCAGAACACAGGCATGGGACACTTACTTTTTTTTTTTTTGTCCGGTAGCGGGAATTGAACTCACGACCTCAGGCTTGCCAGGCAGGCGCTGTGCCACTGAGCTAAATCCCCAGCCCCCGGAACACTTACTTTTATGTGCAAACAGGTCATAAACAAAGCTTGGACTAATGCTTCATATTCTTCTTGGACTTCTTTTCTAATCTGCTTTTTGAGATTCAGATTCTCCTCTTCCAAATCCGTGAGCTGAGCTCTCAGCCCAGTGAGTTCCATGATGAGATCATGACTGAGCTCTGCAACCTAGCGTTATAGACAGCTGAGTTAGGTAGAAATAGTGTGGGCAGGGAGACAGGGCTGGGTCCCCCAGCAGTCAGTGGAAGATGAGAATGCAGCAAAACTGGCTGGAGACGCATCTAAAGAAGATGAAAGTCACAATGGCCAGATTTACATTCTTCCCTAAGGGATAAACAAACTGGAAGCTTAGATTATTGGTACCAGCCTTCTGAGATTTCCGGCATAAAGAAACCATTATCTCATTAGGGGTGGGCCATCCTCTCCCACCCACTAGGAAAGACACTAAGACTAATGGGAAGACTACTAAAACTAGTGACAAGGCCGGGCGTGGTGCCGCTTGTCTGTAATCCCAGCACTCGGGAGGCTGAGATGGGAGGATCGTTGTGAGTTCAAGACCAGCCTGGGCTTCAAAGTGAGCTCATGGCCAGCCTGAACTGCACAGGGAGACCCTGTCTCAAAAAAAGACAAAAAAAAACCCCAAAAACTAACAACAAGACTAAGAGTACAGATTATTAATCAAGTTGAACGATGTCACCCACATGCCCTTGCTACTATTGGATCAATATTGGCTAAGTGGCTATACTTGTAATCTTATTGGTTGATTATAATTTGACCCACACTGTACCCACCCCTCGTGACTTTGCTCTATGAAACTTTCTCCATGAGGTGGACTTGTCGGCAACCCATTCGGCACTTCTCTTGTCTCGCAGGAGCTCTTCCTGTTCCCCGGTAAGTTTTCCTACTCTTAACCTCTGTTGTTCCTTAGAATTCATTCTTTAACTTCAGGGAACACAAACTCAGCATATCTGGGTTTTTTTGTTTGTTTATTTGTTTTTGTCTTTTTGAGACAGAGTCTGGCTATGCAGTTCAGGCTGGCCTTGAGCTCACTTTGTAGCCCAGGCTGGTCTCAAACTCGCAACAATCCTCCTGCCTCAGCCTCCTGAGTACTGGGATTACAGGTGTACACGACCATACCCGGCAAACTCAGTATATCTAACATCTAGTAGGTTGGAAGTTACATATTTTTCCTATACATCACTAGCAGCAGAAATATAGACATACACACACAAACTATATGTATTTCCAAACTGCTACTGAAGAAATTTTTTTTAATAGATTGGTATAGGAATTGTACTTCTCCCCGGGCATGGTGGCACACATCTGTAATCCCAGCACTTGGGAGGCTGAGGCAGGAGGATTGCTGCGAGTTTGAGCCTAGCGTGGGCTACAAAGTGAGTTCATGGCCAGCCTGAACTGCAGAGTGAGACTTTGTCTCAAAAAGACCAAAAAAAAAAAAAAAAGAAAAGAAAAGAAAAAGAAAAAAGTTGTACTTCTATTTGACTCTAATGAAGACCTGCTTGTACAAATGTCAGCAGAAGATCTCAGGCTGCTTTAAAAGTCTTGCTGCAGCACCAGACACATAATACATGCTCAGTATGGTCACTGAATAAATGACCCCAGAGGAACTGCCACTCAAGCACTTTTCAGTTGGAGAAAATCTTTTACCTGTCTTGACCTTTATCTCCATACTGGCCTTCCTTTGACACCTTCACCCACACACCTTTTATTTTTGGAATGAACTTTCACTGGCCTCGAAAGAAAGCAAACTGTATCCCTCAACACCAGCACACTCCACCCCAATACAAAATTTTGAAAACCAAAAAAAAAAAATTACTGAAGGAAAAGAGGCTCCTGACGGGGGTTGCTCACGAACAGTGAAAGCACACTCTTTGGGTATTTCTGCACCAACTTCCTGGACAGGGCTTCTACATGGTGACACAGGCAAATGACATTCTGAAGTTCCACCCCGCCCAGCTCTGAGGACCTTCGCGGGAACTGACCTACCTCACCAGCGCGGTCTTCTGGCGGAACTGGACTTCTTTGCAGCACAGCTAATTCCTGAGAAGGGAAAACCAACGCACAGCCAAATTCAGATGTCCACTCCCCCAGCCAATTCAGGACAAGCCCCCTGACACCCGCCTGACCTCCCCATCTGTCAATGGAGCTGCATTTTGAGACCCTCTCATGAGCGAGACTGGCCCGTGATACGCAGTCTGAGAGGAGAATTCCCTCAAAGATTCTGACTTTAGATTTACACCAGGAGCAGCACCAGGTGCTTTGCGTTTCACAAGGGAGGGAAGGTCAGCAACGCAACTTCCCCAAGGGGCCCAGCCCGTGTGAGGGTCAGCTCTTGTGTGCCCCGCTGGACACCTCCAAGACACACAGCCCAGTGTTGCAGGGGCCATGATGACAGCTAAGGGTACCAGATACCAAGAAAATGAGCCACCAGGAAGTCTGGAGAGCACCATCCCGCTCGATTCAGGCCGCAGAACCACCTCACCCGGTCCCTGCTCACATCCTGCAGTTTTACTTTCCCTTCTGAGATCTGGCGTCCCGCCCCCGCCGCGGCTCCCGGGCGCCCACCTGCTCCCTCTGGCGCAGCCTCTGCCTCGTGTGCTGCAGCACGTGCTCGTAGCACATGGAGTAGGTCTCAAAGTTGCTGCGCTCTCGGGCCATCACGTCACACCCCAGGGAGAGCAGGCAGGCCTCCAGGTGGTCTTTCCTGAAAGTGACCTGAAAGGCAGGCACCATTTGCAGTAGCTCAGGCAGGGGTCCCGGCAGCCTCTCCACGCCAGGGCTCAGGGGTCAGGGCTCAGGGCTCAGGTGGCCGTGGCTCACAGACACCTTTCCTTTCCCCTCCGCGCCAAAAAGTTGGCTCTCGACCCTCGAGCCCGTGCTCTGAGCGTTCGCAGGGCCAGGTTCAAGAAGACAAGTGGAGGCTGACCTGTCCTTTGTCTAAATTTAAAGGTTCTAAGTCAAGTCACAAACTATTAAAATGCAACATTTAATTCTCTGACCTTGAAAGACAGACCTTCGAAATGCTCTGGAAGGCCGGGTTTGAACTGATGATTCACAGACTACTCAGTTCTGTTTGGAAGCATGGTAATCTGGGGAAAGCTGTCCTCAACCCAGGGTTTACAGTGTGACCCTTTTCTGTTCCCACCTCTGGCCTCATACTGTCTTGTGAGGGCTCTTAGATGTATAAAAATACAAGATGTCGGGGCTGGGGATTTAGCTCAGCGGCATAGCACCTGCCTGGCAAGCGCCAGGTCATGAGTTTGATTCCCAGTACCTAAAAAGAAAAATACAAGATGCCTACCAATTAAAAGGGGTGTGTGTGCGTGTGTGTGTGTGTTACTGGAGAATGAACCCAGAGCCTTTGCGCTAAGCTCTTTCCTCAGCCCTTTTTTTCTTTTCTTTTTTCTTTTGAAACAGGTTCTTAGCCTTGCATGGTGGCTTACGCCCGTAATCCCAGCACTCAGGAGGCTGAGGCAGGAGGATCCTTGCGAGTGTGAGGCCAGCCTGGGCTACAAAGTGAGCTCAAGGCCAGCCTGAGCTACATAGTGAGACCCTGTCTCAAAAAGACCCAAAAAAAAAAAAAAAAAAAAGGATAAGGATTGAGTGAGCAGCAGCAGGGGGCAGGGGCCCAGCGTCCCCTGGCTCCCTCTCCAAGGTCCTGCTCAATGGCCCCTTCAGTCTCCCATCCTCCTCTGGTCCCTGCTCAGCCACTGGAAAGTGAGCACCAGCGCAGCCATCAGATGTCCACACAAAGCCAAAGGAAACAGCATGGTGGCACATAACTAATTCCAGCACTCGGGAGAAGGCGGAGGCTGGAGCATCCCTAGCCTGAGGCCAACCTAGCAAGATTCCAGCTCAAACAAAAACAAAAACAAAAATGAACAACAAACACAACTCGGTGAACTCCAGAGTCTCTCCTTTGGACCCTGACTTTCGTGTGGTGGAAGGGCTCAGCAGCACAAGGGAAATGACTGGCCTGACCTCGATGAAAGCCCGAAGCTATGTAAAGTCACAAGACCACCGCCGAGTCGAGCCAGGCGTGGCCCTTGGCCTCATCTGGGCCATGCTGGGAGCCAGCTGCAGTGACCCACCCTGCACTGTCCTGAACACAGGGCCAGGCCACAGTGTGCCAGCAGGGCCTCCAGCAGCTCCTTAAGGGGGCAACCACTTCTCATGCAGCTGATGACACTATTGCACTGCGGATATCGATGCAGAATTGAATCACAGTGGCCTGCTGCCATGCTCTCCTCGCCAACACGGTGCTTTGCCCGGTGGGGAGGACAGACTTCTGGGTGAGTCCATGTAATACCACACCGGCAGGACCGGCTGGGACTGCTTTCCTTGGGCATCTCCAGAGGCCAGAGAAGCGGTGTTGTTTGCTTCTCTCAGTGGCTATGCTGAAGCCCCAGGAGTTGGGCTGATCAGCTCAAGGACCACCCGGGGAGGGTGAGTCTGAAGGCGGGGAGGTGGTAGAGGTGCGGGCAGAGTCCCCGCAGGGGGACACGGAACTGGAAGTGTGTTCTTCGAGGGGCAGGCAGGGTGCGCGCACTGACAGGTGTGGGAGGGGCCTGGCAGCTCCCGGGAGCCCCACCCTTCAGGTGAACTTTGCCCTGCAGCAGCTCCATGAAACAGCACCAGGAGTCCCTGGATGTGGGCCTGCTGGAAGTTCGCCTCGGGGGCTTCTGCTGGCATGGCCCCGCAAGCTCAGCGCCGCTCCACAGCTCACCCTGCCTTCCTGCGTCACTGTAAGTGTAACCTGTGCTTGGTCCCAGTGCAGTGTGGGTTTCATCTGCCCCCTTTCCCTCAGGGTGTATGAGAGCCACAGAGTCAGACCAGTAGGCCTCACCGCCCTCTCTGGGCTGATTCCATCACCAGAATTATACCTGAGCTATGATGGACGGGGCTAGTGGGAAGAGCACAAACGTGTCCGGGGATTTTTCTACAGAGTCAGTCTGGTGTGAAGCACGGTGGGTGCCCGGCTGGGTTGCAGCAGAGTGTGGCGCCGTACCATGTTGGGCCTGTGGTTTGCTTCCTCTTAGACTCTCCCATCACAAGGTATTTTGAGGCTGTTTCTAAAATACCCAGTTCTGCTGACAAAATGCTCCCGGGGCCTCCCATTCACTCTGGGATAAAAGGATGATGCCCGAGGGTTGTACACAAGGCCGCCCAGCACCAGCCCTGCCCCCGTGCCTGGTGCCTCTGAAGTCTGATGTACTGTCCCAGGCCGCTCTGTCTTCCTTCCTCTGTCTTTCTGTGTCTGGCCGACTTCTAAGTGTGCTTCAAGATGTGGCCCTGGGGGCTGGGGATTTAGCTCAGCGGCAAAAGCTCCTGCCTGGCAAGCGCAAGGTCATGAGTTCGGTTCTCGGTACCGGAGAAAAACCAAAACCAAGACAAAACAAAACAAAAAAGATGTGGCCCAAACACCACCTCTTCCAGGAAGCCTTCTCTCACTCCTGGCCGGGCGTGCTTCCCTTCTCTGAGCTCAGGGATCCTGGGCGTCCTCCTCCAGGCCTGCTGTTCACCCCTCCGTAAGCTCTTCAAAGGCAGGAGCTGCGCTTGTCTTTGTCTCTCACGAAGTGCCCAGAGAAAGGGAGGGAACTGACAAATGTTTGCTGAAGGAGTGAGTAACCCTTGGCATACAAGTGAAAAGGGCCCTGGAACCCACAGAACAGGCTATTAAGAGTTCTGATTGATGGAAAATTCAGTCTCTTCAGGCCACAGTGTCTGGTATAAAATTTGGACAGGACATTAGACCTGGTTAGGAAAGACTGGTTTTCTAAACTTGAGAGAAGAAAGCAAAGACCATGAGAAGCCAACACAGGCTCAAAACAACAGGTCAGTGCAGCGGGATACATGTAACTAGCATGCAGCAGGACATCTGAGCGGGCAAACAGGGAGAACACAGGCCGGGTGACAGGACAGCCAGACAGCTCCTGGCCACCCAGACACTGTGTTCAGGGAGCCGGCACAGCCTGGGGGCACCTAGAGGGGCTGCGCAGGGTCTCTGGCCTGCCCCCCCCCATGTTAATGACGATGACACGGGACCTCGGCTGACGTAAAACTGAGAGAAAGGCGTACATTAGATGATACAAGTCCACGTGCTTAAAGACCTCCAGAAGTCCAAAGAGTGGGACAAACGGAACAAAAACAAAGCCAGTGTCAAGGAGCAGCAGACCGTCTTGAGTGCAAGTGGGGGCTTCCGGCGAAGCTCAGTGCTTCAGCTGTGACGTGGCTGCCCACACCCTCACACTCGCACGAACCAGGGCAAGGTCACTGTGGTCTAGGGAACCTTGAATCTACAGAAGGGTGACCAGGACGGCAGGGGTGCGCCCGCCCACAAAAAGGCAGGAGGAAATGGCGACGTCTTGGCCTGAGGGGCGCTGCGTGCGCAGCCTGTGCTCTGCTGGGGGCACCCCGGTGAGAGAGCAGCCAGCGCCCTGTTTCCCAGGCCCTGCGGCCTGGCACGGAGCACCCCCCACCTGGAGGGAAGGTGATGGCTTGTGATCCACCGCCCAGCAGGCACCTGCTTCGCCCTGTCCTTCCAGAGTGTGCTGTGTCCCGCACGCTAGAGTGGCTCTCGAGTCTCGCTAAGGAGCCGCTCCAGACATCCAAGGCTCGTTGTTGGGGGTCTGTACCCTGATGTGGTGCCTCAGGGACGGAGGCTCCTGGCAAAGATGTGGAGGGCAGGCCAAACCCCACTCAGCAGGTGTCGGCTAACACATCAGGTGCCTGGGGCGGGACACAGCTTGAGAGTGCGTTCCATCATGCAGGTGACCCCAAAGAGGCCGGGAGCCTGCCAGGCACAGGTGTGGGGTGGGGGACCCTGGCACCGGCAGCCCCGCACAAACGTCAAGAGTTTGCTGAGCTTCCGCGGTAGCTGTCGTGGGTGTGCCCTCCTGCTCACGCCCACGTTTCGTACCCACAAGAGCTCAAGGATGGGTGGAGCTTACAGAGAAGGGTGAGCAGAACTTGAGCCACAAGTTGTTTGTTTTTATTGTTTATTTATTTATTTATTTATAATTTTTTTTGTCTTTTTAAAGCAGGGTTTCCCTATGCAGTTCAGGCTGGCCTTGAGCTCACTTTGTAGCTCAGGCTGGTCTCAAACTCGAGACGATCCTCCTGCCTCAGCCTCCCGAGTGCTGAGAGTACAGGTGTATGCCATCATGCCCGACTTTATTGTTTATTTTTAATACATTGGGGTTTGGGATTTAGCTCAGTGGCACAGTGCCTGCCTGGCAAGTGCAAGGTCGTGAGTTCAATTCCCAGTACCAGAAAAAAACCAAATATATATACTCTCAGTATACATTTCACATAAATGTCAGCATTTTAACCACCTTGAAGGTCTAAGTATATTCACACTATGTACACATCACCACTACCCATCCACCTCTAGAATAGCTCATTGAACTGAATCTCTGTGCCTACTAAACAGTCCCCTCACCCTTCTCTCCCCAGCCCGGCCTGGCCTCTGGCGACCACCATTCTATGACCTTGACTACTCTACTGGACTTTTTCTGTGTGTGTGTGTGTGTGTGTGTGTGTGTGTAGTGCCGGGGATCGAACCTGGGCCCTTGTGCATGCAAGGCAAGAGCTGTACCACTGGGCCATACTCCCACTCCCTCTAGTGGACTTTTAAGAGTGTATGTTCTTTCCTGTCTGGCAGAATGTCCTCCAGGTTCACCTGTTGTGGCATGTGTCAGATTTTCCTTCCTGTTCAAGGTGGGCCATACTATATATTTTTAAAATTTTATTTATTTATTTATTTATTTTGAAACAGAGTCTCACTATGTAGCCTAGGCTGGCCTCAAACTGTCGGCAATCTTCCTGCTTCAGCCTCCCATGTGCTGGGGTCATAGGCGTGCACCACCACCCCCAGTCCATTATATGGTTTTTTTTTTTTTTTTTTTTTTTTTCCGTCTTTTTGAGACAGGGTCTCACTATGTAGTTCAGGCTGGCCTTGAGCTCACTTTGTAGCCCAGGCTGGTCTTGAATTCACAACAATCCTCCTCTGCCTCCCGAGTGCTGGGATTACAGGTGTGAGCCACCACGCCCAGCCATTGTATGTATTTTTTGATACCAACGTTTCCCCTGAGCATGCTCTGCCCTGCTTGCCTCTGTACCCTGAGGATGGAACCACCTCACCCCCCTATCCGAGTACACAGTACCATGTTTGTGTATAACTGAAAGCCAAGTGAATATACGGAAATCATCAAGTTGTGAGGAAAACTATATCCCCAGTCAAGATTATGAACTTTCTACTTCATTATTAAGAAGTAAAGCCGGATGTTGTGGTGCACACCTGTAATCCCAGCACTCAGGAGGCTGAGGCAAGAGAATCACTATGAGTTTGAGGCCAGCCTGGGCTACACATATAGTGAATTCAAGCCCAGCCTGAACTGTCTCAAAAAAAAAAAAAAAATTAAAACAGAAGTGTTTAGTACAAAATGATGGAGAAAAAAAGAGAAATGATGGAGAACATTTCCAAATTAGGAAAATATAAGTTTGAAGAAAACACTGTTTCAAAAAATTGAGCACATTTTAAAAAAATGGCTCATTTTTCGCTATTCATATCTACCCAAAGAATTTATTAATGGTCCTGAAACCTTATTATGTCTAAATATCCACACTGACTCTTCTATCCTACCTTTTCACTGGATTCCTTTGATTTAGGAAAATATTTCTTGCCAATAATGAACATGTTTCAAAATTCCAAGAATAGTTTATATGTATGTGTGTGTATCAAATAACATTATTATCAAATATAAGAAAATATACAGTTGCTGTGGATTTAAATATCTTCCTAGAGGGATATAAACACAAAAAATTATTCATTCAGACTTCTTTGTGGACAGTAGACAGACTGGGAAGGGAAGGGTAAAAATATTCTGTGTTGTTGGTTTTTTTGGGTGACATATGTTTTGAAAATATTTTCTCTCTTTTTTTTTTTTTTTTTTCTGGTCTTTTTTGAGACAGGTCTCGTTATGCAGTTAGGCTGGCCTTGAACTCACTTTGTAGACCAAGCTGGTCTCAAACTTGCAACGATCCTCCTGCCTCAGCCTCCCAAGTACTGGGATTATAGGTGTGCTGCCCAGTTGAAAATGTGTTCTCATTAGTGATATTATAGGTATTTTTGGTTTTCCTCTTTTAAATTTTAAATACTAACAAATCAACACCAAGATGTTCCTGAAAATTAACTCATCCACAAGTTCCAAGGTTACTTAAAAAACTTGACAAAGTTTGGAATTTACCAACATGCTTTTTTTTTTTTTTTTTTGGTCTTTTTGAGACGGTCTCACTATGCAGTTCAAGCTGGCCTTGAGCTCACTTTGTAGCCCAGGCTGGTCTTGAACTCACAAGGATCCTCCTGCCTCAGCCTCCTGAGTGCTGGGATTACAGGCATGCACCACCACACCCGGCTAGTTCAGGCTGGTCTTGAACTCACTTCGTAGCCCATGTTGGCCAAACATGCATTTTTTACTCAGATCTTTATATACAGCCATCTTTTTCCAATGTTAAAATGGTAACAAATGATCAGTATTTTGGATTCAATCTTAATACCCATTTTATCATTCTTAGGAAGCAAATAATTAGGAGATGTGTTAAATGACAAAATCTCCTTTGTTTGGATTTATGATTTAAAAAAAAAAACCAGAGTGACTAATTTTCAATACATACCTCTGATCCACTATCCTGCTGACTCTGCATTAATCTCTGTATAAAGTTTTCAACTATTTGTGGCCTAGGAACCGAAAAGTTTTCTTTCATGACTTGATGTTTCCAAAGGTCTAGGGGGAAGAAACATGAGAACATTTATATCACAGAGCACAGCATCATTCAAGGCAATAAAATGGCAATTTTCTGAGATCACGGTGTTCACCACAAGCTGCCTTTCCAAATACACAGAAACCAATGAGCGAGGCAGCTGGGGTGCGGGCGGTCATGCCCCCCCATATGAAATAACAAAGATCGCTAACAAAAGCCCTAATGAAAAGGTTTGGAAAATCACCTCTCAAGTCCAGTGAACAGTATCGTTACCACAACTAAAAACCTCAAATAAAATGTTAGGATTGACCATATATGACGTCCATTTTCACTAGCATCCGTACGTTTCTGAACAGTTATCTTAGCCTAACACATCCACTACAAGTAAACAGCAAGGTGAGTGATGTATGAGAAACGAGGCACACACGAAGTTATTCAGAGTGACACTGTTCACCTCAGCAGGAGCTTGGAAGCACAAGTGTCCATTATTAAGGATCTAGTTACTTTGTTTTGTTTTCCGGTACAGGGAATCAGGACCTTGCGCTTGCCAAGCAGGCTCTGTGCTGCTGAGCTAAATCCCCAGCCCCTAAAATGCAGATCCACAGATGCTACCAATCTGTGAGTTGTATTTTTGATTATTTGTCTCTTTTTTTTTTTTTGGTACCAGGAATTGAACTCAGGACCTTGTGCTTGCCAGGCAGGCGCTTGTGCCACTGAGATATATCCCCGGCCAGGATCTAGTTATTTAAACTATGGTATATCCTTTCAATGGAATGGTATGGAGCTGTAAAAAGAAGACATTTTCCCTATATTGATATGATTTTTTAAAAAAGCAACCATCATAAGTTTTAAGCAGAAATGGTTAGGTGCAGAACACTGGTGTGATGGATAAGCTTAAATGCCAACTTGCCTGGGTTGTGCAACTCCTGGGAGCTGATTCAATCATGTTATCCTCACCAGGGGATTAAACACTGTGTCCATGGCTGAATGCGCTGTAAGGAGCTGAGCGGGAGGTGGGTTCCTGGGGATGTGCCTTTGGAGGGTCTACCTCTTACTGGAGTTCTCCCCTGTGGCCTGCTTTCTGGCTACCAAGAACTAAGTGCTTTGCCTCACCAATCCCTTCTGCCACCATGTTTCTGCCCTGGAGCCACCCAACCATAGACTGAATCCTCCGAAACCGTGAGCCTCTCTTCTTCCAAATTGTGAGTGTCAGATATTTGGCTTTAGCCATGAGAAGCCTGACCATACAAATGTTTATAAGCTTTTATAAGGAAGAAATTATAAATAAAGGAGGAGGATGCACCCTCAAGGCTATCAGGTTCATGGCTTCAGAAACTGTCCTATTCCCCATCTCATCAGTTCTGTCCTTCCTAGAGCAGTCACAGTAGCACGTGTTATTTCCCCCATTTCATAGAAGTCCTTTTCTTTGCCCCACTCTCCCCATCAGCTCATGCCCTGATCCTTGGCATCCTTTCGGAGCAAAATTCCAGGAAAAGATGTTTACATGCAAACTGCCTCCAGCTGCCCTCAAATTCCAACTGGTTTTTGGTTGCCTACCGCTCCTGATGGAAGCTGATGTGTCACAAACACCAGTAGTTTTCTCACGGCTAACGCCAGCGGTTTTACTGGCCTACAGCCGCATTTCATAGTTTATTTCCTCTTGCTTGAGAACGCTCCCTCTCTGGCCCTGGAACGCCACCCTGCCCTGTTCTCCTCCTCCCTAGCTCTGTGTTTCTTCTAGGTTTCCTCGGTGCTCTCTTTTCCCCTCTGAAGCGTCCCAGGGCTCAGCCCTCGGTCTGTCTCCTCCGTCTATATGCTCACCTCCTTGGCTGGCCCCTCTTATCTCCCAGCTGCACATTCATCTACTGAGGGCTCTCAGACGTAGGCCCAGCACCAACTTAGCATCACTGCTCAACGTCTAAAAGGCATTGGAACGTTAATCTATCTATAATCAGATTCCAAATTTTCCCACCCTAACTTGCTTCACCTACAGCATGCCCCATTTCGGCTGACAGAAATTCTTTTTTCCCAACTGCTCAGGTAAAAAAAAAAAAAATCTTAGCATCATGACTGGCGCCTCTCTTTCTCCCACTCCAAGTAGCACGCAGTGCCTCCGTGCCTCCTTCCAAATGCACCCAGAAAGCAACCGCTCCCACCCATCTACTGCTCTTTCACCCTTTCTTCTTTCACACCGCATCCTCAATAGATCAGCTAGAGGGAGGCTACTACAATCCAGATCATGTCACTTTAACTTGGAGCCAGGCTCCCAGCTACATTCAGAACAGACACCGGCGTCCTTGCAGGGCTTTCCTGTGTGACCTGCCCTCCCTGGCCTCTCTCTTGGCTTCATCTCCTATCCGTCTCCCCTCACCTTCCCCATCCGGGCCACACCTGTGTGCTGCTCTTCCTAACTATGACAGGCACGTTCTGCTGGGGGCCTCTGCAGGGGTCGTTCCTTCTGTCTGGAGCGCTCTTCCCCTGCACACTCTGTTAGGGTCTAGTTCTAGGATGCTCCTCCAAAAGCCCATATGTAGCCAGGCATGGCGGCATGAGCCTAAATTCCAGCATCTGGGATGCTGAGACAGGAGGTTCACAGCAAAGCTGAGGTCATCCTGCAGTCCACAGTGAGTTCAAGGCCAGCCTGAACCACATAGCAACAGTGTCTCAAAAAACCAAAAACCAAAACAACAAAACCAAAACAGATACACATGAAAACCCAAGAGTTCCTGTGTCCCTAAATTCACATTGAAGAGGTTAAAGACTTTAGTAAGTCTAAGTTTTGAAGAGACAGAGCTCATCTGCACTTGAGGATGTTTTTCAGAAGTTAAATAGACACCTTTTCTGGGGTACTATTTGGCGGGGTGTTCTGGGAATTGAACTCAGGACCTTGCACTTGCCAGGCAGGCACTTGTGCCACTGAGGTATATCACTGGCCCTTTTCTGGGGTACTAGATAGCAGGTCTCTGGATCACAGAGAAGCCTGGTGAGGGACCCATGGTCACACACCTCAGTCTGGGGACTGTCACCTGGGAAACGCCTCCTGAGCTAGTTTGGGGTTTAGTTCTGGCTCAGCTGAAGGAGTACTGTTCTACCAGATTCCGGGCAGGTTCCCCAGCACTGTCCCAGCTCGTGAGTTCAAGTGCAGACGCGTATCTGCATCCTGGACAAGGAGACCAAGAAGCCAGGGAGCGGGGAATTCCTCCATGAAAAATAGTTCCCGGCAGCGAGGAGTTCGCTGTCTCCAAATCTGTCCCATTCTCCCTGTGTGCATAAGGCCAGAGCCTTTCAAAGATGAAGCAGCAGGTTTTGAAAGAAGCGTGGAAGGTGGAGGGCACACTAGGGGTTAAATTGGGATTTTGTTCTCCCCTGTCACTCTGACCCCAGGTCCTTTGAATAGAGGAAGTTGACTTTCTGGGGGCCAGACCACTTCCCCCACCTCAGTCTGAGCAGTACCCAGCCCTGCCTCCAGCTTGGCGGAAGAACACCTTGCTGGAGGACACTTCACTCCCCTAACCAACCACTTGTCTGCAACTGGCTGGTTCCTGGGTCTGAACCCAGGTAGAACCGGGACCTGAAGGTTCACAACTGCCGGTGAAGGCTGTTCTCCCGGTAAGCTGGTAGGTGGAAGAGCTCTTTGTGTTAAATATGCGCGTCTTATGCTCCTATGTTTTAAAATTGCTCCTCAGAACACTATTTCCAAAAAAAAACAAAAACCACTATTTCCTTGACTTAATAATTAGTGTTTTCAAGAGGGGAGAAGAGTTCTATAGTCAAATAGATTGAAAGACATTTTTTTCTTTCTTTCTTTCTTTTCTGAATTTGCTTGGCTGTATTCCGAGTACTTGGGAGGCTGAGGCAGGAGGCTCACTGCGAGTTCAGGACCAGCCTGGGCTACAAAGTGAGCTCAAGGTCAGTCTGAACTGCATAGCGAGACCCTGTCCCAAAAAGACAAAAAAAAAAAACAAAAAACCTCAAAATCTGTCCCATGGCACACTACTGAGGAAACGCTGGCTGAAACCACATTTTCTATATGTTTTTCTGGGGCGGGGATATAGTTCAGTGGCACAGTGCTTGCCTTGGAAGCATGAGTTCATGAGTTCAATTCCCGGTACCACCAAAAAAAAAACAAAAAAACAAAAAAACCACAACACTATATGTCTTTCTTTCCTTTTATTAGTATAAGTGTGTGGCACATAGTGAGCACATTCCCGAGTGAGGGTGGCACATGTACGTAGCACGCTTAAGTCCGTTTTTCATCCTCTGCCCTTCTCTGCCTCCCCCTCATGCTCCCCTCATGCTCAACATTTCTGACCGCTCACCTTGAAAGTGCATGTGTACATTCTATGATATTACTTTTATATTTTATTTATAGCCACTTACAGCAGGATCGCTAGCTAATATCGCAAAGCATGGTGTGCACAGGATGAGCTCATCAGTGAGAATGGGTCCCAATCCACATTCCAGACAGGTTCCTTGGCCTTTTACAGTTTCTCATCTGACTTCTGTTTGGTTGTGGTTAGATTATCTTTTTCAACCGCAGAATGTGGCTGAAGTTAAGCATGTACCAGGATTAGAAATGTTACCTCCTCTGCCTTCTTAGTCACCTCAGAACACCTCAGCATGACATCGGACTCCCCACATCTGGCCTTAATCTATTTAGAAGTTCCAACTATTTCTCCTCACACCCCTGGGATATATGCATGAGACTGCTGGCCTTATAACTCAGGAAAAATATCAATTAAAAGGTCAGAGATAGAGGATGGCAAGGCCTTCCTGAACCAGTGGAGCCCATCTCTACGCTAAGGCAGTCCTGAGGCTAAACGAGGATGTCTGGGCCTGCTTGATAGCTTCCAGGGAAGAACTTCTTTAGCTACAAAAACACTGTCACGGTTTAGATTTAAAATGCCCCCCAAAGTCTCAGCTGTATGGAAGGTGACTGGATCATGGGGCATTATCTTCACCAGCGGATCCATCCATCGGTGAGCTCAGTAGCTGAAAGTGCTTTAGGAGGTGGGGGTTGATTGGAGGTGGTCACTGGGGGTGTGACCTAGAAAGGTGTGATCTTTCCCGAGGCTCCTCCTTTCTTTCACTTTGCTTCCTGGCCACCATGACATGGGCAGCTTTTTTCTGCCAGGCCGTCCTACCATGTCATTTCTGCCTTGGAGTTGGCTGACCATCGACTGAACCTACGAAGTGGTGAGCCAAAATAAACCCTTCCTCCTTTAAATTGCAGGTGCCGGGTATTTTGTCCCAGTGGCGAAAAGCTGACTAATACATACTAGCAGCTGGACCACATCAGATGCCACATTTCCTGAGCCTTCCTGACAAACTTTAAAGTCATTCAGAAACAGCACAGAAAAGATTAAGCGCCAAGACACGGTGATGAAGAAGGAAGGAGGTAGAGGGAGAGAAGTATTCCAACGTTCCCCTTGGCAAGTATAAATGAAGACACCAGGGTTGGCCAACAGGGAAAGCAAACACCCTGAGGGAAGGGCTAAGAGCCTCTGTTGTCCTCCTGGACTTTAGTATTCTCCAATATTAACTCCTGCTAGAGGGCTGGGGATTTAGCTCAGTGGCACAGCGCCTGCCTGGCAAGCACAAGGTTGTGAGTTCGATTCCTGGTACCAGAAAACAAACAAACAAACAAACAAAAAAACTCCTGCTAGAGAAACTACTTGCTCAAAGCTAACCTGGAACGCATAGGTTGATTTCTGCATGAAGAAGTGGCCGTGCTCGTTAAGGTTGCTTCTTGTTGCTGAGACCAATGTGGGCGGGGTCCCAAAGTTGTAATGCCGTCTTTAGTGGTACCCCGCCCACAGAGGCGTGAGAAGTCTAAACTGAGGAAGTGGATACAGAGCAGTCTGGGCACCGTGCAGACCCAGCGGCTTGTTCTGGAGGCGCTCAGTCCCGGAGGAGCCCCCGACCTTCCTGTTGAGCTTGTGTAACAGACAGAAGAACAGAAACAAAACCGAAGCAAGGGCAACGAGACCCCCTCGACCTTGGCACTGACTCAAAAAGCAGTATAAGCTTAGGATTCAAACAAGGGTTTAGGTCTAGTACGCTCTAGCCCAGGCAATGTTCAGTTATATTAACTTGACCACTGTTGAAAATGACTCTAGCTGTCCCCCCTGGCCCCCCTGGAAGCCCCTTTTCAAGCACAGCTTACGAGCAGCACACGCAGGGCGGCACAACCGCAAGCAGACACACCCCACCTCTCCCCCGGCTGTCTTGTTGCAGATGGTTGCACCTGCCCTGTGCTAGTGGTTTTCTCCAAGGACCCGGGAGGGAGCCACCTGATGCAGCAAATAACAGGAGCTTTTGTGTTTTGTAAAGCATTCTGTAACCGGAGCTCAGCTCTCCTGCTCTCTGGTGACATTTAGAGACACCCATGGGCGTGTTTTACCTTCTTGAGGCACAGCCTTTTCCCAAGGCCTGTTTACGGTGTTTAGCTGGTACAGCACTGATGAAAGGACAATGTCTTTATCTAGGCAGCGGGAAAGACAGTGTCCTTGGTGAAAGCTGAGGCTGTGATTAACATTACAATGTCCATGGACTTTGTCTCAAGATGAAAACCTGATTGTGCTAGTCAGACAACTCCTCCATAGCCCAAAGGAAATGGATCTTCCTCTAGAATTGCTAGGTGCCAGGAACAGATGTTTGCAGTTCAGATGGGACGACTAACTACATGGTCTGCAGGCCTTGTGCAGTAAAAACACAAGGCCTTCCCTTCAGAAAGGTCCGGAAAAGGTGCTTTTACACGGACTGAAACATAAAGCCTTTTCTGTTCTTCTGCGCCTTCCCCACCTGTCCTGGTGTTTTCCTCTGCTTTCGTCCTACATTCCCTTGAGCACATACATACTCACAGGGCGAGGAGACCCTCACTGGTACCATGGCCCTGCCCACGCCGGAACGTACAGGACCCGGCAGCTACCGGGCTGGTTTGCATCTGGCCAGCCGTAGTCTCCTCTCCTGCACCCACCACCACCCAGGCAAAGCCCAAGGGCACTGCAACCCCTGACCTGGCATAGTTTAGTTACCAGGGCTGGGAGTGGATCACCCTCATGGTGTGTCCTGCTGAGCACACAGTGGGACCCTCCTGGTGAAGTAGGGACGTTGCAGGGGGCAGCTAGAGCCAAGGCTTCCTATCCTCAGTGTACGCTCTGCGGTGCGCTGGGCTGTCCTTTCAAAACAGTCTCTCAGCTCAAGTGATTTAAGAGTTCAACGGCCGGGCTTGGTGGTGCACCCGTCTTCCCAGCACTTGGGAGGCTGAGGCAGGAGGAACACTGTAAGTTCGAGGCCAGCTTTGGCTACGTAGTGAGTTCAAGGCCAGCCTGACTGCACAGTGACACTCTGTCTCAAAAAAAAAAAATAGTTTCGAAAAGGTGACTCATGTGCTCCTCTGCATCCCGTGGGAATGCTCTGGTCACGGGCCATGAAGTTGCCCTGTGTTTAGACCTCAGAGGAAAGCACACTGTTCTGACTGCTTTCCCACTACATATATGTAGTGCATATACATGGATGTGTGTACATGCATGTACATGTATATATATGTATTTGTATGTATATGTATGTAAGATTTTTATATATAAGGGGTGATTAAAAACTATAGTGAACACTTACATTTTTAAAAAGTTATTACATTAAAAAGCATTATTCCCCCTCAAAATATTCCCCTGTTCTTCAAACTTACTTAACACATTGTTCTTACCATGTTTTTTTCTTTTTCTGTCTTTATAGGACAGGGTCTCGCTATGCAGTTCAGGCTGGCCTTGAGCTCACTTTGTAGCCCAGGCTGGTCTTGACCTTGCAGTGATCCTCCTGCCTCAGCCTCCTGAGTGCTGGGATTACAGGTGTGCGCCACCACGCCCGGCCTTCTTACCACTTTCTGAAGCAGTTCTCAAAGTCCTATTTCATGAGTGTCTTTAAAAGGTATGATCAAAAATACAGTGGATGCTGGTACTTGGTGCCAGAAACAGAAGGGCAGGCTCAAAGCATCACAACGTGTCCTCACCCACCTTACCCGCTGGGTCTGGCAGTGTGCGGCTTCTGACTCCTCCAAAGTCAACATGATCATAAAAGGTTAAGTTCTGAATCAATTCAGGACATCAGGGCAGCCATATCAGTGCAACTAAAGACACAAAAGAGGCTTCCACAACTGCTTCAGAAAGCGGCAAGAACGATGGGATGAGTGTGTTCCAAACAAGGGAGAGTATTTTGAGGGGGATTCACACCAACGTGCCTTTTACTGTAATACATTTTTTAAATGTAAACACTATGCTTTGATCACACCTTGTATGTCATATGTTGTTACCTCAGAAGGGCTTCGGATGTGTCCTTCATTCCAGGTTTATTCAGTTATGAGTTAATGGGCAGAGTTGAGACTGAAGTTAAAGAATGTTTTCTATTTAAAATTCTTTTAAGAGAGCCAGGCATGGTGGTGCATGCCTGTAATCTCAGCACTCAGGAGGCTGAGACAGGAGGATTGTTCAAAGCCAGCCTGGGCTACAAAGTGAGTTCAAGACCAGCCTGAACTGCATAGTGAGACCCTGTCTCAAAAAGACAAAAATAAATAAATAAATAAAATTACATTTAAAAAATTTTGTTTTAAATGGTGGTATATACCTGCAGTTCCAACATTCTGGGAGGCTGAGGCAGGAGGATCACAAATTTGAACCCACCCTGGGAAACTCAGCAATATAGTGAGACTCTGTCTCAAAATAAAAAAGACTGGGCATGAAGTACAGTGCAAAGGCCTGAGGCTCAGTGGGGTTTTTTTTGTTTGTTTGTTTTGTCTTTATAGGACAGGGTCTCCCTATGCAGTTCAGGCTGGCCTTGAACTTGCTTTGTAGCCCAGGCTGGCCTCGAACTCACAACAGTCCTTCTTCCTCATGTTTTTATAATTAACATGAATACGTCAGATGCTTGTATAAGTAGAAAGAACAATAAAAGCTATTCTTTGAATTACTAAAATAAGTATGGTTTACCTGTTGGGAGAGTACTTTCCTCCTTGGACTTTTCTGATAAAACCAGTGTCATCTCTCTATGGACTTTTCTTAATACCTCCTGGATCATATGAATTTCAATGTTTTCCAGAAGTTTCTGGAGCTAGAGCAAGCACAAGCTGAGAGTCATCTGCACAGTCATCTTACACCTCGGACTCCCAAGCCTAATGCTATTCCTCTGCTATGGAGAAGGAAGGGCTCCTTTCTTGGGCTCCCAACTGCTCCTGGGGATTAGAGTCATCTTTTTGGAGACCAACAGCATTTCTTTCTGGCCATGTCCTGACTGATAAAATACAACCTTTCACCAGATCCTGTTGAACCGCACATGCTTCAAGCCTCAGAGTGATGTCTCTGGGATCTCTAAATGTGACTGGGATTTCGTGAACCACCACTTTTATAAAGGAAGACTTGTCAGGCGTGGTGGCGCACACCTGTAATCCCAGCACTTGGGAGGCTGAGGCAGGAGGACCGTTTCAAGTTGAAGGCCAGCCTGGGCTACAAAGTGAGCTCAAGGCCAGTCTGAACTGCATAGCTAGACCCTGTCTCAAAAAGACAAAAAAAAAAGAGAAGCCTTCACTTTTGAAACTCAATTTCGACACCAAGGAAGATTGCACACATGACCAAGAGAACACTCTGCTCCCTTCTAGCCAGGATGTGCGCACAGCCCATGATCCTCCCCGGTGGAAGACCAGGTCGAAGGGGAAACAGAGTTCGGCAGGGTACATGATGGTCTTGGCCGTGGCCCTGGGCCCTGGTTGGGGGCTTGAATGTTGCTTGCTGCTCAGTGGACAGGTCAGAGTCTTTATTTGCCTGTTAAAATAACCCCAGCCACAGGGAGCCTGGTCCCAAGACCAACCTGAGCAAAGACTTGGAAAAAATAGCTTCTCCATATACATTGTCTAAAGCACCAAAGAGGCTAGTGCATAAATTGAACTTTCTTATTTTCAGAAAAACAATTACAGCCGGTGTGGTGGCGCATGCCTGTAATCCCAGCACTCAGGAGGCTGAGGCAGGAGGATTGTTGCAAGTTCGAGACCAGCCTGGGCTACAAAGTGAGCTCAAGGCCATCCTGAACTACATAGCAACACCCTGTTTCAAAAAGACCTAAAAAAGAAAGAAAGAAAGAAAGAAAGAAAGAAAGAAAGAAAGAAAGAAAGAAAAGACAGACAATTACCAGAGCCATATTCAATATTTCATTTCCAGCCCAGGCGTAGTGGCACACGCCTGTAATCCCAGCACTCAGGAGGCTGAGGCAGGAGGATGCAAGTTCAAGGCCAGCCTGGCCTACAAAGCGAGCTCAAGGCCAGCCTGAACTACATAGGGATACCCTGTCCAAAAAAAAAAAAAAAAAAAAAAAAAAAAAAAAAAAATTCATTTCCATGTGGATACTTCTGTGCTGGATTTTATGTTTAAAACAGTCATGTTCCTAGCACTCAGAGGCTGAGGCTGGAGGATTGCTGTGAGTGAGGGCAGCCTGGACTACACAGTGATAGCAAGTCAGCCTGCACTACCTTGCTTCAAAAAAAGACAGTAATGGCTGTTTTCTGTTCTCTTCCTGCAGGTGCACCTCAATTTAAGGAAAATCAGAGTAATGACAATCTAGACGTATAGAACTGAGACACTTAAGGGCTAGATTTTGTTTAATCAAACTCCCCACGTACCCTACCTACTTACCCCCTCCCCAGTTCCCAGCAGACTCCTAACAATTCACAACCTTCCCATTTACACTGAACTTCTTAAAAAAAACAAACAAACCACCATTTGTGTATATCTATAGTTTTACATGCTAATATTGCCAGAGAGCAAATTTTCCAAAGCAAATTTTAAAGGCTCCTGCATACCTGCTGAGTTTTTATTTCAATTTCTGAAGCTCCTTTTGGGGGAAGAACAGATTGACTATTTATTACAAATCCTTCAAATTCATCTTCCTTCCCCATCTGCCTTGCTAGAGCTTTCATGCTGGGGTAGAGAACGTCGGCTCTATCAAAGAAGAGAGACAGAAATGAGCAAACAACAGGTTCCTTTCTTCTTATTCCGAGTCCCTGGTAATCGTTTTAATCACTTCCTGCTGGCTTATCATCCTGTGCAAACGTCCCAACCTACTCGCAGACACATCAGCATCTAAATTCACCTCTCCCTTAGTCAATATTAAATTCTGAGGCCTGTTCCCGGTGGGTACATATAATTTCAGATCCCAGTCTTCAAAATATTGACCCATCTTCTCATTGCCCCGTTACCAGGGACACTGGCTGTGCTAACATCACCGCGCAGACAATTCTGACCCACACAGCAGTGACTCTCGGAAGCCGGGGAAGGCCAGGGGCGGCGGCTAGGGGCCGAGTGAGTGCTTGCTGGAGGGGCAGGTGGCCTTCCTGCGGGCTGTCACCCCAGCCGAGCCCAGGGACAAGGTTGTCCCGCCTCTCAGGCGGCAGGCCTCGTGCAGCAGGAGCCCTATTACATTTCGGCTGCAAAGCCCGCACAGCTCCCAGACAGGCCTGGGTCCCCGAGGGAGCGCGAGGGGAAACAGCCCTCAGGCTTGCCCGCGCCCCTGAGCTGGAAAGCGAGCGTCTGCGCGGTGGGGCGGCTTGGTGAGCACAAGCTCCCAGGAGCGGACTCGGATCTGCGGGCAGCAGAGGCGGCTCCGCCCTCCGCGCGGCTGCACAGGCGGCTGTGCCTGGGCAGGGCCTCACCCCGCCCTCGGCCCGCACTCACGCGTAGAGCTCGGAGAGCCGCTCGTGCAGCGAGGCCGCGCCGGCGTCCGGGGCGCGCAGCTTGAGGCGGCCCCAGTGCTCCTTCAGCGCTTCCAGCTGCTTCCACAGCAGCAGGAACGATCTCTGCAGAGCCAGGGCCCTCGCTGGGTCGCGCCGGCCTTCCAGAGGGGCGCGGGCCCCGGGGCTGCTCCGGAGCTGACTTCCGAGCCCAGGCGCTCCGATCCCAGCCGGCTGAAAGCATTGCACACATCTCTTTTATTCGCAGGGACCGACATAGATAACTTTCTATACGCAGCCCACGTGAAACGAAGGCTTTTGAGCCAGGCGTGGTGGCATATGCCTGTAATCCCAGCACTCGGGAGGCTGAGGCAGGAGGATCATTGTGAATTTGAGGCCAGCCTGGGCTACAAAGTGAGCTCAAGGCCAGCCTGAACTGCGTAGTGAGACCTTGTCTCAAAAATACAAAAACAAACAAATAAAAAAAATTTGAGCCTTTCATGTTTAGTTAGTGAAGTGCACATTTGAAACTTAAATTCTCGCCACTTCTGTGGTGGGGCTCTAATTTTCCACTGGGGATTTTACCTACTTTATGAGTAAGGAAATGGAAATTTGTGTTTATTCTACTTTTTATTCCTTCTCCCATTCTTTGAAAATAAAGCAGATAGTTGGGAGTGATGGCACATACCTCTAATCCCAGCACTCAGGAGGCTGAGGCAGGAGGATCGTTGCAAGTTCGAGACCAACCTAGGCTATAAAGTGAGCTCAAGGCCAGCCTGAATTGCACAGCGAGACCCTGGCTGGCCCAGAGCCTGTGAAAGCTCACTTTGTAGCCCAGGTTGGTCTTGAACTTGCAATGATCCTCCTCCCTCAGCCTCCTGAGTGCTGGGATTATAGAAGTGCACCGCTTCACCCAGTCTCAAACCTTATATTCTTGTTTTTTTTTTTTCCAGTACTGGGAATCGAACTCACAGCCTTGTACTTGCCAGGCAGGCGCTATGCCACTGAGTTAAATCCCCAGCCCCGGAACCTTATATTCTTGATAAGAGTGGTTTTGGTGCTCAGAAGGGAAAAGACAGGGGTGGGCAAATGGAATGATAGGCTTCGGGGTCTCTCCGAAAGTTTGGCTCTTACAAGGATGCTCTTAAAGGGAGGCACTAGCTAGCTTAACTGACACCCAAACATATCTCTGCTGGATCCTAGTTACGTGTGGAATTGTTCACGATACCAGATGGGTAAGTGGCTATTGTACCTTACCGTGAGGCGGAAGCCCAGAGAAGGGAGTGCAGGCCTAGAAGCCCCAGGCTAGTTGAGGAATGAAGACAGAGATTCACCCTGAGGGGGTCACCTGGGGTTTCTTTCATGGCCCGTGGGCCTCCCCACCTCTAGTCCAAATGAATGACTCACAGTGAAAGCGTCCGGCTGGAGAAAGAAGTGGGAATATGACCGATCATGGGATTGTGACAGAAAATGCCTCGGAGTAGCTTTCACAGGCTACCCATGCTTCGTCGTTGCTCCCATGAGGCATTGGCACAGTCCCGGGGCCCACGGGAAAGGCTATGGGGAAAATGTGACTCGCTAACCCATGTCCCAAATAGGAAGGGGCTTTAAGACAACACACAGCTGGCCAGCTCTGTAGACTGTTCACCAAGAATACCTGTCTATTTTTGTCCAGTAAGGTTTCCCGTCCAGGAGAATCCTCTGTGATTCCATCATGGCTACTTGAAAGTACATCTTCCATGAGCAGCTGCATGACTACCAGCTCCCCATGAGCCACCTTGTGGTCGCCGTCACTCAGCCCACAGAAGCACAGCTGAGAACGAAGAGGCGAAAACAAAGCAAAAATGACCCTCCCACTTTGAAAACTTTTACGTATCCTTTACATGTGTTTTTTGGGGGAAACTAGGAATGGCTATTCATAAGTGATGCCTCTTCGCTAATAGACAAATCCATAAAAAATGAGAGGAACATTTCTAGCCAGAAGTCCTCCTTGAACATGTCAGACTTGGTCCTATGCAGAGGGACCAAGTTTCCTGACCCTTATAGCAGATGTATATGATGAATATACAGTGTGATATTAATTTTTCCTTTTTTAGGGTGTCTTGGTTACTTTTCTCTCATTGCTGGGACAAAATACCTGACGCCCAAAATTAAGGAAGGAAAGGTTTATTTCGCTTACAGTTTGTGGAGGTTTTAGTCCATA